AACAACAACAAAAATTAATACTAATTCTAACCATCCATCTTAAAACTATGTACTAGTTTGGGTTGATTTGTTTTTAATAAAATCCCCACTAAATACAAAGTCAGCTTTCAGTTAGCAACTGAAAGCAATTAGCAACACTACAATGTCACAAAATTAAGAGGCCCATAATCATCCCTTTAGAATAAATGCTACATGAAAGAACCAAAAATATGTCTGATTGGCTAAGTGTCACTTCTGTTTTGCTGCCTATCAACTTTTAGCTAAGTTAGCACTCAGAATGGAGCTCATACTGCTGTTTAGCTGCAGTCTGGGTCATATGACTCTTTCAGTGACGGATCCGATCCTCTCCGTTACATAGGTGTGTTTTGGAGAAATGCACCCCGTAGAGAGCATCATTATGCACCAATCGCTTTACATTGACCTGAAAAGTCATTAAGTTGTCTCAAATGAAGCTAATAAGCAGTGTGGATTTACTTGACAGAAACTTGCAAAAACTTAAGTCACCAATTTGTGGATCCTAAAAAATTTATCCCATTAGAAGCATTTCTAGTTTGCCAGCATTTCTACCACAGCCCAGTCACTTGATGAATCACAATGTCCTCAAATTCAAACAGCAACTTTTTCAACAACTATTACTATGAAAGCATGCAAATGGTAGAGAGTCGTAGCTAATCCTACACAACAAGCTGAACCTAAAGCTCTTTACAATGAGACGATCTGCAAAGATCCTCATTATGGAACATCGTGTTCCAAAGAGATCTACGAGCAACACGGACTGTATCATGGATCAAACTTACAAAAGGGTCAAATTTAGGTTTAAGAGGTTCAGTTTGAACATCTCTGATGTCAGTTTAAAAGGAGTAAAAGAACATGAAGAAATTTTGTGCAAAAATCAGAAATGATCAAAGCAGCAATGATATTATTAATATAAAGCAAGATGGGAATGCAAGTTGAAGCCTAGCTTTGAAAAAAAAAGCAAAAAAAAAAAAGCTTAAAAACCACTGATGTTGCACGTTGAGGTCATTCTGAGATTTATCATGACAATATTCCCACATGGCCTCCGCTCCAGATCCTTAACTCTCTTGTGTTCAAAGAAAATTAATTCGTACAACCTCTCTGAAGCCATCTTAAAAGTAGTTTCAGGCTGCAGTTACACTCAAGGAGGGGGCAAAAAAGGCACCACAGAAAGGCTTTAGCTCATTTTTATCCCCTCATTTAAGAAATCAAATCATAATGAGGCAAACTGCTTTAATTCTGACACCAAAAACTCCCCATAGAGGCAGCAACGCTCATGTTTAGGTCTGGCATTCAAGCACATGCTTGTCCCTTCAACACTTGCTGCTGACCATTAATGTAGAATGCTCTGCTAAAAAAACATAGTTCATTGTGCAGAATTGAGCAGTTGGTATACTGCAAATCCAGCCTGTCAGTCAGGCAGCTGCATGAGGACAGTGGCTGTTCAACTACTGCAAGGTTTTATGCACTTAGAAAAGTGGGGGGAGTTGAGCTGTCTGTCACAACTGTCAGCAATAAACACACAGGGTGTCAAGTAGGAGAAACAAAAACTTGTTCAAACAAGGGCAGTTTGTCATAAGCAAATGCAACAAAATGCCTCCTGGAGTAGACCGAAATTAGACAAAACCAAACACAGAGGAACATCTTTGATGTGAAGATTTTGGGATGAAAATACACAAGGTAGCAGTTAAAACACAGCTGAGGAGAAAGCATTTGTAGAAGAAAAGAAAAGGGGAAATTCTGCTTTGTGAGTATTCTGGTCAAGCTGATCAGCTGGCATTAGTAAACTACATGAAGGTAAAGCAACTTCTGACAGATTTCCTCCATATTCTAAAGCATTTGAGCTGAAGCCTATGTATGGTAACCTGACAACAGCCAGATGCATGTCTCACTCCGCCTAGCTCCGCTCACATACATCTGGGAACCCGCCATAGGAATTGCCTTTACTGAAGGCTGGGCCTTATCAAAACTCCTTGCATATGATTGGATAAGCCACTTGTCTGTCATCTTTATTGACGTGCTATTTCAACCACTCACACCGAAGCTAACCCGTGACGCTGTGAGAGGAGGAGCCATTTGGTAGATCAAGCTCTTGCCAAATCCGGTCGGGAGAAGGGCGAAAACATCGTTTCCACCAACAAAAGCCTTCAAAGCCGTTCTCTGATGTTCTTTTAATTAAACAATATCAGATAGATTGGACAACACAGAAGAAATAGCAGCATCGATGCTAACGCTTGCTTCCTCAATGCGAGCCGCCATTGTTGTTGGAATCTCACGGTCGCTTCTCCACTCCAGGACACACCCACCCTGCGTCCTGATTGGACAGACCATAAATTCGGTTGGGGAAATCACTTTCAATGAGCGGGTTCCCAGATGTATGTGAGTGGAGCTGGGCGGAGCGAGACATGCATCTGGCTGCTGTCAGGTTATATGTATGGTTCTTTGACTTTCAAACACGTCTTTCCAGTCGGCTTTAGACCCCTTCACAAACAGCACATGCATTTTCATTTATAAATGTTTTTAAAACCCAAGAAAGAATAATTCAAAAGCTAGATCAGATTGTTAATAATGATAACATGGCTACAATCTTACTTTGTATTAAGATACCATATCAATCTCAATACCCAGCACCTTTAACTCAAGAATCATGTTTTCTCCCTGCCTATTGTCATGATACCAAGAGCTTTACCATATTTGTTGCATGATAATTCACATTTGGTGGTGGTAGAAAAGGTAGTAAAGATCCATCCAACAGGCCAACATTTATTAAGACATGGAGAGCTGAAATTCATAGCTCAACATTTCAAATACAGCATATTTTTATTTTGATACCCCTAAACAAAATCCAAGGGAGCGAGTTTAGCAAAAACATTTTAAGCAGGGCTACATAGAAAAAAGCAAAAAAAATGTCCTTAGGTTTGAATAGCTCACATAGCAGTTTCCAATCTAGCAAAGAAGCAGTTTATTTCAACCGCAAAGCAGCCATGCCAGCATTTCAACTAAACCGACAAGACAAGAAAGGAACATGTTAGCCAGAGAAGTGGCCAAGGGCTCAATGGTGACTTTGGAGGTGCTACAAGAGCTTGGGTCATATGTTAATAGGACAATATTAGTCATGCACTTCACCAATCTGGACATCAGGAAAAAGTTTCAACAAAAGAATTTTAAAAAGAAGAGATTTGGCCGTAAAGATAGCAATGAGAAGTCCCAAATGCACTTTGCAGAGAGCCGTAAGGGAGAACAGTGCAAAATGGGGAAGAATGTGTTCGGGTCAAAAAAGACCAATACTGAAGCCTTTTAGCCAATATGCAAAACAGTGAGTGAGGCACAGAACCAGAAATGCATGCAAGCCTCGCAACAAAATGCAGCGATGGCACCATGCTGAGGGGAAGCTGGTCAGATTTCAGGAGATGAGGGGTGGCTGCAAATACAAGGCAATGCTTTGAAACAACCTAGAAAAGTTTGCAAGAGATCTGGTCCTGGGGAAGCATTTCTAAACGTACATGCAGTACTACACCGAATAGCAGGAAGAATCTCCAGTGCACAACTGCCCAAGTCAAAGTCCAGATCTAGATCTAATTGAGAATCTCTGGCAAGAATTTAATATATTCACAGACTGACTGACACCAAAATAGACTAATATTTGTTATAGAGGCAGCTACATTGAAGCAAAAGCTTTTTAAGAAAAATTTAAATGCAATCGTCTCAACTTTATTTCAAAAACAAAAAAAAATTAAGTGTAGCTTTGAATTTAAAACAAAATAGTTGTCTCCCCCCCATAAAGCAATCAGTTAAACCTGTTTGGGCAACCTTTGCTTATTTCATTTGACCAGCCCACTCCAAACCCCTTATTTGACTAAGCTCCACTGCCATCCCATCAGCTGTTCTAAGCCCCTCCTCCTTATGGTTTCCGGATAGTAACAGGCTGTCCAATCACTTAGCTGGGTTTTTCACTGTGCTGGAACAAAAACAACAAAAAAAAAAAAAAAAGAGAGAGAGAGAGAGAGATGGGCTATCAGTTCATAATGTTCAGGAACATTTTGTGGGGCTGGAAACCTGTTTTGATGCTCTGGTTCAACAGCACAATTCTGTATTGTCAGAGCCAAAACACATCAGCACAAAAAAACAACAAGTCAGTTGAGGACGGTTAAAAAAAAAAAAAGTAGGGAACAAACTAGATGCAGCTTTGTAGCTCAAAAGGTCTAAAATCAAAACGAAAACGAAAAAAACAGCCATTTAAATTAACAGCAATGAGCCACGAGACAGTGGAAGAAGAGTGAGATACAGTGATCAGGTGGCCATTTTGATGTTGAAATTAACCAACAGACTACACAGCACAGCTCTGCTGCGTTTTAACAACAAAATTACAACGTGTAGCTGGAAAAAAGCAGCTAAATATAGACGGAAAGAATGTCGCTTCAACGACGACAACCGTTTTATTGCTGGAGTAAAAACAAAAAGCTTCTTCAGTTAGCCTTACGTTATGTAAACAAGCTGCGTAAACGTTTGAGGGGGCAGTTTGACTCAACTCCCACCTCCTTAAAAAAAAAAAAAAAAAAAAAAAGCAAGCTGGACAAAGAAACCAAACTGACACAAGGTGATTCGTGTAGTCATGGATGAGTTAGTGCTTCAATATTGATTATATCCAGATAGCAGAACACCAGCTTCATGGAGACATGGTTTTCAAATAGACACAAAAACAAGCTAAGCTAACGTTTGCCACATATTGTGTAGAAATGCTACAGGAAACTGTGACCGATGTGATTGGCTAATGGAGTTGTCCTGATAAGCAGCTGAGGACAGAAATAGCTAACATTTGGCTTTGCTAACAAAATGTTGTTGACACCAAAACAGCAGTAATTCACAGATAAATTCCAATATGTTTAGTCACAGGCAGACTACAGAGCAGCGTTCGTTTAAACAGCTCAGGCAGGACTCAGGCATACATGAACACATACTGTTATGTTCAGTTAATAAAAGGATACAGTTTCACCACATCAGTATCCATTCGCCTTTTACCCGGACTCGGAGACGACATTTTTTTGTGCTATTTCCACCGCAGAACGCCAGTAAGTCAGCTGAAAGCCAGCTCCCAGGAACGCTAGGCAGTCTAGCAGGCGATATTATCCGAAAGTTAACATTTGTTTTACTGAGATGTCCACGACAGAACCTCCTCACGGGTGAAGTGTCTCCGTCTCAGCGCTGTTGAGGGTTGGAGCTATACGTTAGGTCTCTCTCCCGTTCACTGCCTTCTTTGCGATCTCACCATGGTTCTGACAAGCAGGGATCCCTCCGCGAATGACGCAATATATGTGCGACAAGAAACGCCACCATATATGGCCATGTTTGTAGTTTCTACAATGGAGGCAACTTTCCACAGCATAGGAACCTGTCCCTAACAAAATTTTGGACCGACCTACTTGTCCCTACCAGTTCAACTGAAACATCATTAGTTCAACATTTTTATTTTCTTTAGTCCAACTGTTTTTAATGTTCTTTTTTGTTTCTACATTTTTTATTTAATCAAATTTTTTTCCTACTTGCTTTGATTCTGTTTTATTTTCATATATTTTATTCATGTAAAGCACTTTGCATTGTCTGTGTACTGAATTGTGCTATACAAATTGCCTTGCCTTACCAACAATTACATGTGACCAACATAATTTATATACATTAGTTTATATTAGTATTAGTTTATCATTTACAATACAGCGTTGTTTTAGCAGTACATGAGTTCTGGATGGAGAATATTGATAGACGAAAACATTTTTTTTATCTAAAATGCAAAATGTTTATTTCTTTATTTATTTTTTTACAATTTTGGTATAATTCCTGCTCCAAGTGGGTCGCTTTGTGAGCTAAAGACATGTTTTAGAGTCTTTATACTCCAGTTGACGATTAATCGATTACTAAATTTGTTGACATTATTTCAATAATTGATTTATCCAATGAATTGTTTCAGCCCTAAATAAAATACATGAAATGGATTAAACAGAGTAACTACAGCCTAGATGTGTAGAGTGAATGTCAGTTCATTTTCTAGTTCCAATGCACATGTAAATACAATACATTTGGCGTCCCTTGAATCTATTATTTCACTTTGTTTCATGATACAAAGAGAACATTCAAAAGATAAGAGTGGGGTTTACCTCTGCACAATACTATATCTTAAAAAAAAAGTATTAATCCACATATAGCAGACATATTTAGACTATATTCTGTTAAATAGGCACAGATTTACCTACTGTCTTAGTCGCTGGTAATTTCAAATGCAAATCTTCTCAAAGTGGAAAAAAGTTCTAATTCCTCATTCATCAGAGCCAGTTAAGCTTCAGTCATTGATAAACAGCATCTAGTGTGTGTAGTGCTTATAAAATTTGTGTAAATGTAGCAACAAATGCTGCTTTTTTCTCTTTAAAAGAAATACACCCTGATTTCACGTCAAGCATAAAAAAATGAGCATGCATATATTTGCATAGGACCAGTGACATCAGACCAATTGTGTCCCTACCAAAGTTTAAATCAAATCTACGCCATTGGGATGCAGGGTTGTCAACTCTCACCCATTGGGGGTGAGACTCACCCATCTCAGTGTCTTCACACACTCTCACTCCATATTCCCAATTTCTCACACTAAAATATGACAGACATTAAAACTCAACTCAGTCTAGTTTAATAATCTCCCATTGGCTTTTAGGAGTAATTAAACCAACACAAATATTTTAATTCTTAAAGCTTCCAGGTTTGCCTCTCAAACCCAGCTCCACAAAAAGAAAAGGAACCTTTGCATTTTATGTTTCAAAAGATCCGCCACCCAAGAAAAGACCAACCACATACAGAGAGGATGTGCAGAACAACTCATTCATCTTGGATTCATAGAGGAGAAACCACAGGGATGTTTTTCTTTTATTATTACATATCTTATTCATTTATCTTTATTTTGGTCCACTGAATATGTTAAAAAACTTAATTTCCATCACACCTTCCAAACTGAAACATCCAGAGAAGTGCTGTCTCCATGGGGACTTTTTATAAAATCTACAGCCTCCTAGAAGGTCTGAATTGTTTAGCTGTTTTGACTATTGTAAGAAAAACTAATAACATAACAATTGAAGCTGTTTCATCTTTAGCCTATTAGCAAATATTCATACACAGTGAAGTTTCCACTGGTTTCTATATCAGTGGCAGTAATCCAGTAATAGCTTATTAGCCTCCAATTGTTTAATTTACTTGAACTGCAGAGAATAATTAATGAACAAAGTTGTTCTGCTTTACTTCCCTTCTTTACTTCCCTTCTCTTAAAATCACCAGAATGTAGAAAAAAATGTATATTGTGAGAAAAATGTTCCAGATAACTACAGACCACTTATTGTTATCAGTAATGTTTACTGTTTTATAAAATTTCCACATTTTGCCACTTTAAGTTAAATCCTCTGAAAACCTCCAACCTATAGCTGCACCTGTCCTCATTTAACCCTAAAAAAGGTTTCCTGTCCAAACAATTTCAAAATCTCACCCTGTAGATGTAATCATTTAAATCAGGGGGTCTTCAACATTTTCCAGGAGGCCAATGACCTCCAAACTGATGGCAAAATGGAGCAGGGACCCCCTAATTATATATATTGTATGAAATTGTGTTATATCAAACTGGTCCTATAGTCACTCTATTATATATGAATTATTGTAACCAAAGTAATTTCTCCCTGGGATTATTAAAGTATTTCCGATTCTGATTCCTTGTTGATGGGACAGGTGTTGTGAATGAAACGGTGCCCAGCTTGAAAGAGCTCCTGTGTGTCGCTGAATGTGTGCATTGATGCCTGAAAGACATCTTCTGCCTCCATTTATCTGTTTACCCCCTGTTGAAGACCTCCAGTTTAAATAATCCCTTACTAATCATATATACACTTGAATAGTTAAATCCAATTGGACTATGAATAAAAAAAGAATAAGCATTGTATTATGAGTATGTAACCGTGATTACATTTTGATGATACCCAAATAAACAAAGCCCTCTGTTATTTTAATGCTCAAAATCAAGCTAAATACAATTTCTAAACTGTTGTAACAGAAATGTACAATTATTCAATGAAAACCGGACCCATCACATTAAAGCAAACATTTCTTACACAATTTTATTATTTCATAGTCCAGTGTTAATGTAAACATGTTACAAAATATTTCCAGCAGCTATAGAGAGGCATCATAACCATAAATCGTCAACCATAAATGTGACGGTAAAATATGTCACAGGCAATTTAATTTTCCTTTGGGCCTGAGCCTGATTCTGCTGGAGGTTACTTCCTGTTAAAAGGGAGTTTTTCCTCTCCACTGTCGCTACAAGCTTAGTGTGAGGGATTGCATTCGAGTCAATGCAATCAACTGGTTTTCCTTAGATAGAAAACTTTGAATCAATTTGACTGTATGATCCGGTAAACTGTAAAGTGCTTTTAAATGACGTGCTGTGAACTGTCGCTATATAAATGAACAGAATCGAAAATTTGGGATTGATAACGTATTTTTGAATTGAGTTGTATTAAAGTTAAAACATTTCCTTGTAGACCACTGTGCTGATTTTGGATTTAATAAAACTGTTACACAGCTTCCTAAATAACCCTTGACTAATAAAGCATCATGCTGGATCTCAAGTAATTTGTGCCTCTTAACTCTTCCTCCCAACTCTTGAACCTCGACTTCCAAATAACATTTATAATTAAGATTTCATCTGAAAAGAGGACTTAGGACCACCAAGACAACGTTCTGTAATTTTTATTCTTTGCTGAAGTAAAGCACCTTTAACATTATCCTTGATTGATATATGGCTTAACATAATGCAAAAGGTTCATCACAAACAATGTCTGTGTGTTACAGCTTTTGAAGCAGTGACCTTGGCTGAAATCCATTGCTTGAGAACCTCCTCAACCTCGCTCCATGACCCCCCTAAGCTCATTCCTGTTGCTTGTGTACATTTCTGACCTCACTGTTTGCTTCCACTCACATTTTAATGTGCTTGGAAGCAGCACTCTACCAGCTTCTTTAGCAACGACCTTTCATAGCTCGTCCTCACTATGAAGAGTTGCAGTGACTTTCTCCTCAAGGGCTGCCAAATCAGCAGTCTTCCACATTTTTGTGCTGACCATAAGACTTCTGCCCTGTTTTGTATATTAATTTTTTAGTATTACAACCTACAATCAATCTGAAAAGATATTTTTCAAACAAATATTGTGTCCCATAACACTGGTGATCCATTTTGTTTTTCCCCCTTAGAAATATTAACATAGTTTAGTTGTTTTCATGACTGCTGCTGTGTTCGTTTTAGTCTCTCCAATCCTATTAAAGACCAACTTCTCTCAAATGTTTGACTGCCTCTTATATAGACTTGAACTCTCGATAAGCTTTATGAGTGATAAATTATCTTTAGAAATAAACATATTTTTACAGGACCTATATTATAAGAAACATGTGTGTTTTAAAATCCAGTTTAGAAAAAAAACTATTTAACTAGTCGATATGCCACTATCACAAAAAGAGTTATTTCAAACTTTTGGAACTCAAATTCTTTTAAAAATCTACAATCATTTCAATTGCCCTTTTCTTCCATTACTTTGTTTTATTTTGTGACCTTCATTGGGGCCCCAAGTCACACTATGGGAACCAGCAATTTAAACAACACAAAAAAAAAACATTTTGGGGTTTTATTTCAGATGCATTTACAATTCAGTATGTCATGTTTCAAAAAATATTTACTTATTTTCAAGCAAAAAACTAAATTTGAAACAAACCTTTCAGAAAACTACTTTATTAAATTCCCTTCAGAAAGCCTAGGAAGACAAAGGTCAAAATGAAAATGTTAAAAAAAGACAAACATTTTTAAAAAGCCAAAAGTATGAAAAGCGTAAACCTAAGTTGCTCACAGTCTGTTCTTTTAATAAGGTTGATCAATTCAATTCCAGCAAACAGCTATACAGCACATTAAAGGTCCTATATCATGCTTAAAAAAAAAAAAGCCTTTTAATGTCATCTATAGACAGATCTATGATAAAATAATGCCTTAAAAACTACATGGGTGTCAAAATGCAATGAAGTTGTGTTCTTCCAACTGTGAAGATTTTGATGAAGGAAAAACATAACATATTTTAAATACCAAGTATGTTTATTTTGCAAGATATAGGCTCTTTAAAAAAAAACTTCTTCCCAGTGTTGATGCCAAATGGCTGTTTCTCACAAAAAGATATTCATCTATTTTCACTAAAAACATGACATGGACAGGTCTTCAAGGTGGTTCAGCTTCCAAAACTAAGACCACGGCAGAAACCAATCCAGCTTCACGATGCCTTTTATTCACACCCTTTGCTCACATTACAACTACAAGCTGAATGTTTATTTTCAGTGACAAAACGTCACAAAGCAGAGAATTATTGTAAAACTAAAATGCATTACTTTCAAAAGAGTGAAGAATAAAAATCTAAGTGTAACGGGAATTTATTTAGTTTCATTTTAGGGGTCGTTCTGAATGAATTTGCATGCTCTCCTAGTGCATATCTTTCTCTCCCCAGCTTTCCTTCCAACTCCAAAAACAAAACGATTTACTAAATCGATTCCTCTAATTTAGACTTTGTGCATGCATGGTTGTTTGTCATGTCTCTGTCTCACTCTGTGTTGGATTAGCAACGTCTCCAGAAGGTACCCCTCCTCTCACTCAGTCACCATTTAGGATGCAACATTTGTCTTCCATTTCACGTTTATAATCTACTTCATCGTCATGTATTGACCAATAAAACATATTAAAATGTGTGGTTGTAATGTCACAAAATGCAAATGGTTTATCAAGTATCAATACACAGCAAGGCATGGTACAGTTAGTAAAAGTGAAATGTTTGTAACACCGCAAGGAATCCTTTCTTTTTTAAAACATCAACACTAACTCAAACACTTTATTTATAACAAATTCAACAATAAGGAGTGACATACAGTAATATATGATTCTCCTTAAATGCTGGGATGGAGCTTTTGGTGACCTAAAGTAAAAAAAAAAAAAAATAGGCAGGTTTTGGATCTAAACGTTCTGAGGTGAGGAGGATACCTGCCACTGACGGAGGATAGCAAACACTCCTTTAGTCTTGTCACGAGGGCCCTAGCAGGAAAAGAAAAACAAATACTGTTAACAGTTCTATTTTTCCTCCCCACAAACCATAAGATCAGAGCTTTCCACTTACCTGTGCTGGTGTGCCACCTTGTGCATTGGCATTCTTCTTTGTGGGCATGAGGAGATCAAGAGCAGCTTTCCAGGCCTGCTGATTAACTGTTGAAGTTGTTACTACAGGTGATGCCACCTCTGGGTCCATGTTCTCCTTCCCCTCAGAGATCCAGGGACACCAGTCTCTGTGTTGAGTAAGGGGGTCAAAGGCTCTCTTGGGCAGAGGACCACCCTAATGTTTTAGAAAAATAAAAGGTCTTTAATCAGATATGTGATAATTTTCCAAAATGTTCTGTTTTTTTTTTCCTCAAGAAAAGGATTTCCAAAAGTGTAAATAAAATCACAATTAATAAACACATTTTTAGTTTAAATATGGAACTGGAAACTCCCCATAACCAATTATATTATTCATTACTGACTAGGAACACTGTAAAAAAAAATAAACAAAGAGGAAAACACTGTATAGAAAGTGCAGCAGTTGGACATGATGCTTAGAAATGACGTTTAGTCTTACTGGACCACCAGCGGATGAGAGGCACAGGCGTTTTGGAGGGTGTAGAGGGGCAGCGCCATCAGTCCCTGAGCCAAACCCCTGTCCTCGATTTCGGGTCGCAGGTCTCTTGCCTCTGCTTAAAGGACTTGGCAGCTCTTCACTTGGACTAGGTGAATCTCTGCTGCGGGCACGCAGAGCCACTGGAGAGGGAGTTCCTTCATCCTGCACCAAACACAAAAACAAGTTTAAAATGAGCTTAAAGAACTGATAAGAAATTAAAGCGCTTAAAGAGTGTTTGAAGTTTTCAACTAGACAACAACAGACTAAAGAGGAAGCAACAATCCTTGATGTCGTTAGACCCAAATTTAAGTCCAATTGTTAAACCAACTTATGAAACAAAAGTACATATCAGGCAGCTCTAATCAAAATGCCTTTGCATGAGTCTTGACCAATATCATCGAAATGGATCAAATCATTGTGGTTCTTGTTTTAAAAATGATATCTCTGACTGGTATTTGGCTATCAAGTAGATGTATCCGCTCACTACACGTCTCCTTACTCAGTGTTCAAAGGACCAGAACTAAACACATTTGGTTTTCATGTCCTACAGCTCGAGAAGTCTGAGAAAATCTAAATAAAGAAATTGTTTGTTTCTTATTATAAATTCTAATGTTTTTCTAGACAGATTTGTATTTTACCTCCTAAGTACAAATAATTATATTGCTGGCTTTTAGTTTCCTGACAAAGAAGATGTAACCTTTCGAGCTCATTGAAAGTAGCGTCACCTAATGCCTTAGGACTAAAGTTTGGCTTAAGCAAGTCGGGATTAAAATAAAATATCAGCAGACACCATGAGAAAGTACATCCTAAGCTTGTAGGGGTGTGTCCTCCTGAGCTTCCATGTTTATTTTTGTTCGAATTGTGAGCTCGGCAGATGTTGCTTTTGTCACAGCTATATTTCTCGCCATAAAACTGCAACATGATTGGCTGACATGTTATGGGTCGGTCATAAACAGTTAAAGCAGGAGCAGTACAACATGGATTCTTGAACACAAATACTGCAAAAATTCAGCTTTTAGGCAACATTCAGTCAAAGAAAAACTGCATCCGTGCAGGAATACAGTACAAAACCAAAGTTGAATGTTTATTACTTCCATCATGTTTAAGATGATACTCTGTTGATTCAAATGATTGCATGACATCCTCAGAAGCCACTGAGTGCTGCAGAAGCCTGTTCATCATTATTTTAAATAAGTCAACTGCTGATATAGACAATATTCTAAAATACTCTAAAAGGCACAATGCTAAATAAAGCAAGGAAGACCTGTACTGGACGTTACAAAACACTACGTACCTACAATGTGATGGGAAAAATATATGGAAATAGATGAAGTCTAAGACTGTTTCTAAAATTTCTAGGGCTGCAACTAACGATTATTTTAAAAATCGATGAATCGGACGATTATTTTTTCGATTAATCGATGAATCGGACAAAAAATATTTTTTATATTAACCTCTTTATTCCAAAATAAACATTTTAGACAGAACAAACAAGCACACAAGTACAGGTTGCTCTTTAACTGTACTGGTGCAATATGAAAAATAAATGTTTGTGTTAAAACTACGCAAACTTACATGAGAAATGTAGCTGTACATCCACAAAATATAGGGTACTTTGTTTCATAAAGCGCAAAAAAAGACATTTTTGTTTTTAAAAGCCCCTAAGGGGTTCACACAATAGGCCCCCCCATTTCAACAAATTAGTTTTTTTAGACTAGAAGAGTTCTGCCTTTTAAGACAGGAAAGTATAGCAGTTAAAGTTGCTACTTGAGAAAATACTGAACCATAGAGATAAAAATAGCCCTGTGATTCAAATTATAAATTGTATTTGGAATAAAAATGAGAGAACTAGGGGTGCTAAAACACACATCCTCCAAAGACAGATATTTACATGGGAATGTGGCAGATAATTAATTGACATATTACTGATCTTGCTGGATTTTATTCTGCTTTACTTCCATAAATTGCAGGATCTTCTTTACTTTATCTTTGCCAGAAGATTTAAACTTTAAAAGCCTTGCCCTCATAATTTGCAAGTTAATTTATTTATGAAGTAAATATAAACGCTGCTTAAGCTAATTCAAATGAAATTAAAGGTAAAATAAGTAGCCAACCTTATCCCTGTCTGTAACCTACTAACACGGTAAGGAAAGCATCAGATGAGCTACCTGAGAAACTAACGTAACGTTTCCCCACTTTAAAACCAAACAAACATGGTGGTTCCGTGCCATGTTAATTTCTTTTGAAAAAAGTTGCATGTTATCACTTTTTTCGCTTTACAAAGCGCAGGCTATTTTAATTATTGTGATCAATTTGCGCCATCAATCCCGGTGCATGCGCGCTTCATTTGCAGTCTGGACGCTGAGGCTGACTGCAGCGCTGAGAGGGAGTCCTGCGGGAAAACGCGGTTGGGGTGGGGGAGGCGCCCCACGGCAGAGTAGGAACGATACATGCTTTCACGTAAGAGTCTCCAAAAGCCGCCAGTGACACCAAAAAAAGTCGCCAGATTTGTCGCTAGAACGCTTTTTTGAAAAATAGTCGCTGGAGGGGTCTGAAAAGTCGCTGAGTTGGCAACACTGCACCTGCGGCGCTGACTCGCTCTGCCTTTTTTTTTTTTTTTTCTTCCTCTTTCAGTCAAGAGGCAGTGATGACGGCGCGGCGGATGACGCAATAATCGCGCGACACAACTAATCGATGATGAAATTCGTTGCCAACGCTTTTAAAAGTCGATTTTTATCGATTTTATCGATTCGTTGTTGCAGCCCTAAAAATTTCCACTTTCATTGAGCTTGCCTGGTCAGTGCGAGTGGAGTCCTGGCTCCTAAGCTTCATGCGACATGGAGTTGTTGGAGTTGGAGCGGGCGAGGCTGTCCCAAAAACATCCCCATCAGTAGCTGCTGGCGCAGGCCCCGCTGTGGAACCAGAGGGTCCTGCTGAGTTTGGTGGGGTCTCTGTGTCACCTGCCACACCTTCTATCTGATGGAAGTTCCATAAGCCGACCTTCCGCATACAGTAGGAGCAGGAGAGGGTTGGTAGGCTCATGGAATGCAGAGATGGGCTAAACGGAGCAAAGAGTGTATTAGTAACCGTTTCCGTGGGATACACAAACACATCAGGGTAGAAGAAAATTCCTCCTACTTTGCTCCCCATCCACAGAGAGAGACAATGCACGCAGACACCTGCACAGCTAAAGGTTCAGAGCATGGAGTCCCTCCCTTTCTTTTCTGTTCCTCCTCAATCAACTGCAGCACAATGCTGATAACATCCTCAGTGAGAGACTAACGGAAAAAATAAATAAAATAAAATTCACCAGATAACAATTATGTCGGAATAATCGAAAATAGATAATGATATTTAGCTTCAATTCACATAAGTTTACCATAGACTTCAGTAGCTCTGGACTTATGGCTGGCAGCTGCTGTGCCAGGATGCATGTGCTCTGAAAGCGCTCCAGAAGGGCAGTAAGAAGTGCTGATGGTTCAGAAGACGAAACCAACCAGAACCGCTCTAGGAAATCAAATATATATTGTGATTAAAAGAAGACTGCACCTTTGTTATATCAGCTGTAGCTCAACGGCTGTTCCTACCTGGACAAGGAAAGTCAGGCCAAGGGCAATACTTTTCATGCTGTGTCTGAAGCTGCGTCGATATTTCTGCAACTCGAGTTTTATCTATTACAAAAATCAAAAAGAGAAAACTTGACTTTGCTTTAATATAAACCTCATCCTGGCCACACTAAAAAAGCTCAAGCTCGGGAAAAAGTTGTTTGCTTGAAGTTCTGCTTACATTTTTCGAAGTCTAAAGATGGTTGTAGGGATGCACAAAGGAAAGCCTGGCAGCTGGAGCACTTTAGCATGTCATTACCAACATTGACCCAACCATATCTGGCACACATCAGAGGTGACAGTATGTGTGGCTTGGCTGCCCATTTCATACAGTACAATGCTAAGGAGAATTACACTCTATGGATTACAGTATTTTAAATAAAAAAAAAACAGAAATCCTGCTATTGTTAGGATGAATTAAACAGTAAAAAACATCTATTAGCTGAGAACTACCTAAAAGAACATGCAATAAGAAAAGGATATTGAATATGACTCCACTCTGGAGAAAAAAGCTTCATGGTTTGTAGTCTCACAGGGTGCTAGGGGGTTGCTTTTTACTTCCAGATTGTTTGTATCTCCTTGTTTGCTGAAAGTACAGAAATACACATTGATTTCAGACATAATCAGCAAAAAAATATGTTTTCCTTCAAAGGAACAGAGCAAATATCCCATTAATATCTCATTTTATAGGAGATGTGTTTACAAATAACTCAGAATGCATTCAAATTAATTACAATGGTAAAATGTTTACCAATATAGACAAGTTAGACATCGTTGGAAAGCTTAGATTCTCCACAATTCAACCACCTAGTTCATTTTATGGACATAGTGAGTACCAAAGCACAATTAACAGAGATATAACATCATGTTCAAATGATGTATCACACATGTAAGTTGGGCTTACAGTTCCTCAGTTATTTACTTTTCTATTTGGGGATGAAAAATAGGGGACTTTTCCAGAAATTAGGTGGATATTAAGAGGGTTCCTGTGATGGTTTTCTTTTTTTAAATGTGATATTTTCTCTAGCTTAAACACCCACGTTTTTTAAAGACATTTTTAATTCAATTTTGGTATATAACAAAAGAAGTATAAAGAAACAAATGAAACTTTAAACAAGGCAGCTAACACATGGGTGAATGGAACTGATGGGAATGATGAAAGTGGGGACAGACAGAAGAATAAAGAAAAGTATGGATAAATGGACAGAAAGATGGATAGTAGGAGGGAAAAGACAGATAAATGGAGGAAGTAAATACAAACAGATAAGGCTGAGAGAGATATTCAATCAAACTATGGATCAAAAAACAGCAGGATGATATAAATGAGTGGAAAGAGGGATGGATGGATAACAGGACGACCAAAAAGCACATTAACAGATGAACTATTAAATAGATGGATATTCAAATATAGAGAAACAATTCTGCAACATTTTAACATAAAATTTAAATTTTGACCAAGACCCTCTTAAAAGGTATTCATTTTTAAATTATTTTCCTTGTTAAATGAAGGATTTTTGAAATTGTTCAGCAGAAATGTTTAACAGCTAGAGGGCATGGCTGTATGCTCATGCTCATCTCAACCAAAGCAAAGCTAAAGAGGAGCAGCGGCTACCGTGAGCTGCTCGGCTAGCGTTTAACCCTTAAAAGAAGAACGCGTGTTTGGTCGCATTGTTCACCTATTGCAGTCGGAGTCCACTGCAGAAACCCCCTCATTGAGAATTTCACGGACTTTTTCTGGAGAAGTCAGGCTGGACTTATTTTGGTTAGAAATACCAATTCTCTCTCCACGGATCCCTCCGTCCGTCGCCATGGTCCGCTCTAAATAGTCTCCTCCGGAAACTAGGAACTAAGAAAATTGGTTCCTACTGTTCAACAACCAAACCCATCAAACATATGGTAGTAGGTGAAATACATTTAAGCCACACTCTTATTTACCTTTTACAGTTTTCATAAAACTTTCATAAATACCTGTATTGTCAGGTTTTCTCAAGCAAAACATTTCATAGGGAAAAGGCATATTTACAGCTTTAGATAATAAATTCACACTGACCACACCAAATCAAAACACTGCATGTTTGCACCGTATATATATTTGATGCCCTGAACTTCCATATCAATGCGTTTTTGTTTTTTTTTGCACAATGTCTTTTTTTTCTCCCACACTGTTTACATTTGATCACTGCATCACTTTAAGGAATGGAAATATCATGAAAGCTGTACAAAACCAAATTTTGATTTGTATACACTGTGTATACAAAATGACAATATAATAGTTGTTTAAGCCTAAATCCCTAGATTAAGTAATTAAAAACACAATTTCCTTGTAAAAGAGCAGAAAAAATAAATAAATAGATAAACTAAAAATAAATAAAGCATTCTTTATTAGAGAAAACTATGCATAATCAGTTCAATTGTGGAAATTTTTTAGCACTTAGATCAGTCAATAGACCTTCATCTATGTTGACATGTCTAGATGTTGACATGTAGAAAATTGCTTAAAAGCTCAACAACATTATAAAGGAGGTAAGCTCTGTTCTAGGAACTCATCGAAATCCTCTTGAGATGATTTCACATTGAATAATTTTTCATAAAGCAAAGAAAATTATGAATAACAGTGATCATCCTCTTCAAAAAAAAAATTGTTAAGCAACAAGTGAGTGTCTTCAGTTTTATACAAACTGTTTGATTTACTTCAACATTTAATATACATTTGGGATTAATAAAATATTTCTGGGTAGAATTTTTAATTGAATAACTGAGGTGAACAAAAGATGAACAAAAGAAAATCTACTAATATATGTTATACATTATTCTACAATGAAATAACATAGTTATTATATAATATAGTATAAAATAATTTGTTTTACAAGATGTATCATAAATAAAAAGTTAAATCCTTTTAACACGACTTACTAAAAAAGCCACTTTAAAACATATACCGGTAGCAGTTCTTAACAAATCTTATTCAGATTTTTTTTAAGACAAAACTTAGCAGAGGTGACAAATATCCCTAAAAACTATAGAGTAGCGAATTATTCATTTTGCAGATGTACCTTACAATACGGAAGAGGATAAGGGCCACCCAAAAAAAAAGTGAACTGAATTTTAAATATTATTTCAGTTTAATATGGGAATCTAAGTCAGAATTCTGAATTTAATCTCAGAATTTTGGATCTTAATGTAGGTGGGCACCATGAAGGAATGATGTGGGAGCACTCAGCTTCTGTGACAAAGATGTGAGTTGTTTGGGAGGGCCAGTAACACGTTGGAGGAAAATGATGGAATTAGGCGACTTTTTACGTGCCCGAGGGGTCCCTGGTTATAATATTTCATTAATGGAAGAGCAGAAGGTGATTAAAACAAGAGAACTAGTCTCTAAAACAGACATGGCTATGGCTTGATTAAAGCCAGAATTCTGAGAAAAGAAGTCAGAATTCTGAGAAAAGAAGTCAGACTTCTGAGATTAGAATTCGTATTTTTTCCCATATTAAACTGAAATAAAATTTAAAAATCAGTTAACCTTATTTTATTTTTTATTCAGTGGCCCTAATCCTCTTCCGAACTACTAGGTTGCCTCTGCAAAATGGAAAATGTGCAGGTTAGACCTACTCAATTAGATCATTTTCGCCTTCATTCATCAGCCCAAACGGCAGGTGGCGCTAAATACGACTTCAGGTTGATTCTCTACAGCCAGTCGCCGTGAATCAGCAGAAGTAGAAGGGTGTCATCACCGGTGAGGCGAAAAGAAAAATTGTCAGATGGCTACGAAATAGCCTGAAATGCGAAATGAGGCTTGTTCGATTTAGTAGTCGTTGCATTTTTTCCACGTGACACCTAAAGGGTCTGGGGCGCAGAGGGAGAAGACGGAGACGAAAGATGTCGGACGTCGGAAGCGCTGACAGTTTTAAGCAGCTGAATAAATTTGAGAAACTGACAGGCAGGCCGCCGCACAGAGGAACATTAGCAGGTCGGTCAACAACAACAAAACCGTTCAAATCATCGACACTGTTTTATTCTCACTCACATTACCTCACCAGGATGTCCTGAAATAAGTGATAAGATCATGCTAACTCCTTACATTTAAATAGAGATCATTCAGATGTGTGCTGTAGTAACTGCAGCAGGGCAATGTGTGTTTTTTATGTTGTTATTTTTTCATAATGGCTAACATCACCTTGGTAAATATAAAGTTTAAAGCTTCTGAGTTTCTCTTGCAGTTGCCTTGCAGCAGCATTTGTATGTTTGACAAACATAATGAAAAACTAGTCTAAACTGTACAATCTAAACCTGCTGCGGGACGTTTTTAATTTGTTGGATTGAAATTTTGACTTCAAACTGAATTTTTTAATAGTTGGCTCGACATTTATGACGTGAGAGAGTTTAATCTTCTTTATGCCAACATCTATTGTTATGGACAATTATTTTCCTCCTTACAAGACTTATTTTTTTCCTTTTTTCTTAATGGAAATGTTCCAATCACCCAACATAGGGTAATATATCAGATAAGGATTAACCTTAGTAAATTCAATGCATAGTAGTGAATCAATTATTTGATTTTAAGTAAAAAGGAAAAACTTGACTTAGATTCAACTTTGTTTGTCTTTTGAGGTTAATCCTTCAGGTAAAATTTTGGTTCCAGTAGCTTATATAGAGCATAAAGAGTTAAAGCAAGATGCCATTAAAGATAAAAATAGGACAGACTATAATATAAAAAGAGTTTATATAGTAAAAAAAAAGCATAATAAAAGAAATATCACTTATATATAAAAATATCTGCACTGTAGACAGCTAATGGAAGACTACATAGTAGCTGACTTGGATTATGCACTTGCTCTGCAGAAATGTACTGACCTTATAAAAGAAGTCAAAACTCCACAGTAGTTTGCATGTGTTATTGCACAGGGAGATAGAAGAATATTGCACATGAGAGGCAATAGGTAATGATTTGCATAAGATGCCCACAGAGAGGGGTGCTGACATTTGTCCCTCTTCCTATCACCTCCTCCTATCCAGTTTGGGTATTTTATATTTCAGTGTTTCAACTAGTTCTGCAACTAATGATTATATAGCGAATCGATTAATCTGTCGATTATTTTTTCGATTAATAATCAGATAACCAAAGGTTCCTTTTGCAAAATTAAACCAAGTGAAACAAAAATTGAGTTTTTTAATCTTAAATGCAAAATGTTTATTCTTTTACAATTTTGATATAACTGTTGCTCTAAGTGGGTCGCTCTGTCAGCTAAAGGCATGTTTTACAATCTCTATGCTCCATTTAACAATTAATCGTTTACTTAATTAGTTAATGATTATTTCCCATAATGGATTAATTACGATTAATCAGATTTATTGTATCAGGTCTAGTGTCAACATTCTTCCCTCCCATTATAGAGATAGATTCATATGTTGGCTGTCTAATATTTTTGACTGGTATTTATGCATGTGTGTTTTTCTTTTTTCTTGTATTGGCATCCGCCAATACGTGCATTCAAAAAGTCATGCCTCCGATGCTATTCTTAGACTTAGACAACTTTTATTGTCATTTTGACATTTCCATTACTTAAAATGCAGCAGTGATCAAATGTAAACAATGTGGGAGAAAAAGACATGGTGCAGAAACACATTAATATGGAAGTTCAGAGCATTAAATATATGGTATAATATATGCAGTGTTTTGGTTTGCTGTGGTTTCAGTGTGATGCGAAGTCTGTCACATCATTTAGAGTTTCCTCAACAGTTCAGCTTCTCATTTTTAATGTTTGTCTTAATGTATTAAGAGGGTTCTTGTTGTTTAAATTGAAACTTAAGTAACATCTGTTATGATTATGTCTCTTATTTCCTGCAAAAGGAGGAAAAAAAACATTATCAGCTTAAAAAAATAAATAAAAATCAGCCTAAAAAATTGTCAGCACATACCAGGGATCGGTTGGACTGATGTCAGAATAATCAGTCGAGCTTTAGTTTTTAATGCATTTACAATTACTTTTTATACAGCAGATTTAATCGCATGCTATCACTAAACTGCTCTAAAGCTCCATCATGCTTTTAATAATCTTTATGACTAGCAGATGCAGATATTCATAATGCAGTGAGCTGTTTTCCATACTCGCCACTGAACTTTGCATCCAATTGTCCCGCTTTCAATAGTTTATACATAAAGTCCAATTAGATATTATTAATAAATGCAAAAGTGAGGCTGTAGTATGTCTCTCTTGTGACAAATTGGCTCCTCTACTTCCAGGTCCTCCAACTCCTCCTGCTCGCAGTGGGCATCGCTGTGTGGCTGACAACACTAACCTGTATGTGTTCGGGGGTTACAACCCCGACTATGATGAGTCAGGAGGCTCAGAAAATGAAGACTATCCTCTATTCAGGGAGCTTTGGCGGTACCATTTTGCCACTGGCTGCTGGCAGCAAATTCGAACGGAGGGGTACATGCCGACTGAGTTGGCATCTATGTCAGGTGAAACATCTGTATATGTTTCCCGCTTTTTAGATTTCTATACCTTTAATTTACAGTAAGTGATGATTTTTCGTGTGTTGTGCTGTTTCCCTCCAGCTGTTTTGCACGGTAACAACCTTCTGGTGTTCGGAGGCACAGGGATCCCCTTTGGGGAAAATAATGGCAATGACGTTCACGTCTGTAATGTGAAGTACAAGCGATGGTCGCTGCTCAACTGTCGAGGGAAGAAGCCAAACCGAATATACGGACAGGTAGCTGAAGAATTCAATTCCTTTTTTTTTACTTTGCAAGTTAAGACATTTTTTTAAATCTCTCTCAGTATTTCCTGCTTTGCCTCAACTTTCAGCCTCTGTAGCAGCATTCTCATTCAGATTACTCCTTTTCAGGCAATGGTCATTATAAATGGGTTCCTATATGTATTTGGTGGAACGACGGGCTACATCTACAGCACAGACCTGCACAGACTGGACCTGACCACCAGGGAATGGATCCACCTCAAACCCAACAACCCGCCTGACGACCTGCCTGAAGAAAGGTCCAGTGTTGCAAATAACAAAAGGATTACAGTAGTTAATTTGTTGAGGATATATTTGTATATTATTTTTTCTGCTTCAAAATCTGTTTGAGTTGACTTCCTCTCACTGTGTGTCACAGATACAGACATGAAATAGCACACGATGGACAGAGGATCTATATTCTGGGAGGTGGAACTTCCTGGACATCATATCCTCTGGACAGGGTACTGCTCTGCTATGTCATTAAAGTCAATATCAAAATATCACATTTTGGTTAATGTTTTGTGTTTCCATTTTATAGATGCACGCTTACAATCTGGAGACAAACTCTTGGGAGGAAATCACAACGAAACCTCATGAGAAAATAGGTCTGTATGATGTCCATAATTCATCCTGCTTTTTTCTAATTAGTGCTTTGGAAAGTAAACTATATTTTTCCAAAATGGCTGCTTCAAATGATTAATGCTCCATTCTGTGGGTTAAAAAGTGACAAATCATCAAAAAAAAAAATGCAACAGGGAGTTAATACTTACAAGACACTCAATAGAACATCTTAATAAATGTAGAACCGTCACTCTTTTGACAGGATACCCCGCTCCTCGACGATGCCATAGCTGTGTACAAATACGTAATGGTGAGACTGATCATAACTAAGAAATATCTGCCTGCTTTTTATTAGCTTCCAGACTAATCTATAATTGTGTGAATTTTTTTCCCGCTGCTCTAGATGTGTTTATCTGTGGAGGCTACAATGGGGAGCTGATACTAGCTGATCTGTGGAAGCTAAACCTGCAAACTTTCCAGTGGAGCAAACTACCAGCAGAGATGCCTGAGCCAGCATACTTTCACTGTGCTGCTGTCACTCCAGTTAGTATCCTCTCTGTTTTTAGTTGCTCATGTAACGCATGTATCCTTTACTCTCGTATGTTGGAGCGCTCAAAAAAAAAACTTGATGGGTTTCCTAATATGAGGGCAATTTAAATAAATATCGAATAATAGTTCATAATGACAGAATAATATTTGGATAAAATAAATAGTTTCAGTCTAAAGGTGTCACACATTCTTATGGGTAGGAATGTTCTCTTAATATTTAACTTTTAATCATTTATCTAAACCTTTCTGAGGTAGCCTGAGGGAACTTTGAGCAAAAACCGGGTAGACACCTGTTCATTTATTGACTCAGACCTCAGTCACACATTAGTGCTCCAACATGCTTAGATTAATTGGATAAATGCACTTAGGAAATTACAGAGAAACAATACACTAAAATTCACAACATCCTGGCAAAAACCAAAGGATTCAGAATTCTTTAAATAGTTTCATAATATAAAGCCTACTTAAACGAGGAGGCAATAAATTGATCAAATAGATAGAAAAATATCTATAATTATCAAAAATGTTATCTTTCCTTTCTAGGTAATACAATATCATGTAGAACTGATTAGAAGTGGTTATACGTTTTTTTTACATACATTTGTGTGATTGTTGTGCTGCTGAACCAGCCAAAGTTAGGATTTATGCGATGCATTGTGATCTTCAGTTCATGTTTTTAATTGAGCCTTTGGTAGAACTTAATTGTGGCAATTATTATGCATTTATGACCAAAGAATCTTCCCCTAGAAGCTGTTAGCTGGTGAATGAGGTGAAGCTCCGGTTTATGTCGATCCATAAAGTACAGCTTTTGTCGTTCTTTTCAGGCTGGCTGCATGTACATTCACGGGGGTGTGGTGAACATCCACGAGAACAAGAGAACGGGCTCTCTGTTCAAGATCTGGCTGACTGTGCCCAGCCTGCTGGAGCTGTGCTGGGAGAAGCTTCTCAAGGCCTTCCCCCATCTGACTTCTCTTCCCACCTTTCACCTGTATAACCTGGGCCTGACGGAGGAGCTCGTAGAACGCATGAAATAGGCAGAAAAAAAACTCCCAGCAGGACACTGGATGATGCCTGATGTAGCCCTGCCTTAAAACCAAAAACATTGGGATGCCTTTTTTATGTCCACTTCTTTTCTTTCTTTTTTTTTTTTTTCTAGATATGGCATTGAGCGTAAATATTTTTGGGATATATTTTATGGATTTTACTTGAATCCCTGCGCCATCACTGCATCGTTCTAGCGTTTGGATTCTGGGCATCATCTTTCAAACTGACATATTGCGAAAAAGTAAAAAATACCATGTGAAAAAAGAAAATTTTACTCTAATTTCTCCAAAATTGCTACAGATATTTTATAAATGCAGAGCAAGAATATTAATGGATGTATATTTATTTCAAGGACTTTGCTGGTGTCTTTCCCTTCATCATGAACTGATGTTGCCATTTGCACATTTGTCCCATGGTGTTATTTGTCTTATTTAATTAACTCTTCACCGTTTATTTCAGTCTAAAGATGAAATGCATTGGTTTGGCTATTTAACAAAGTTCCATTGATACCATCTTGTTTTTGTCCTCTCACCAGAGGGGACGTTCTTTGCTGAGAGTTGTCAAATAGAGTAACAGTCGTGCATTTTGGCCTCCAAGTTTGCAAAAGATGGCCAAATAAGGAAACCTTTCCTCCTGCCTTGGAAATGTCTTAGATTTATGGTTAATTGCCTAAAACCTGTGGAGACAATGGGTATTCTTCATCGCCAAGACCATTTACAACTTGATTTGTCCATGTATTTTTATTTTTATAGCATAATCATGAAACAAACTTAAGGTTAATTCCAAAAAGCATCACTTTCTAGATTTAATTGTAAAAACCACTATATGTCACTGTGAATTGGGTGCTCTATGCTTTTAGTTCAATGATTGATACTTTTACTTCCTCTTATGTATAATGGCTTTGCACTGGGATCTGCTTCAGTAGCATATTTGTTTATCCTGCAGTGCCTTCTCCAAAGACTTATTCCACAGATGTAAGATTTCTGCATGAGCCCCTTTTAAATATTCCAGTTCATGCAATGTTTCATTTTAAAAACGTGTCCCTTTCCCTTCTAATAAGCCCACTAACTAAATCCGCTGCAACATGCTGTACTAAAAGAATTGAGACATTTTTTTTTTAAAGGTTTATTCAAATGATGCCAAATATCTTTTGTCATCTTTAATTTTTGTTTGACCCGTGCCAGTGCATGAATTCTGCACTTATTTTAATTTCTACCCTGTGTTCCCAGATTCTTTAATGCATGGTGCATGTACCTGCTTTTTAAATTATCTTTACTTGTAAAGACAAAATTGAAGGTTCACTAATATGTTGTACAGTCAAATTTTATGAACATTGTCAGTTGTGAATAAAGGTATTGTCTAAATAGTTTGGTTCTCGATGTCAATGGCTTGTTTAGCATGATTAACAGTAACCTTACAATCCATATTCTCCCCTGGTTTAAAAGGTATAGTGGAGGATTTTTGAAAAAACCCACCCTCTCCACTTAAAAAAAGATGCACTTGCACAACCTTGTACCCACTCCTGAGAGGGAACGCCTATTAAACATGCGTGAGAGCATCCACAAGCCCATTTCTCCTCGTGCACGATGTTTAAAGTTGCTGTTTGCATTATTCATACAAACTTACTTTCCAAAAGAATATTTGAAACTTAAAAGATAGTTAAAATGGGGACGAGCACATAGGGCAGCCTTATGTAACCATATCACCAGAATGATTGACAATTAGGATGACGACTTATTTTGATGATCCACCCAGAAAAAGAAAATCCTCCACTACAGCTTTAAGATGTATGGAAACATTCTAAAATTCAGCAGTTAATCACTGTAGCATAGCAGACTTGTTTTCATCTTCGTCTCTAGTGGACTTCAGATCTGAGTAACTTTTTCCTGCGATCATTTAACTCATGAATATCTGTACAGTTCTGCCTTACTACATTTAAATTATACTGCCAATCATTAAATAACAAAACATTTAACACAAAAATAGAAGTACCTCAATCCTACCACCTTCAAAATTTGAGATAACCAAAATACTTTACATTGCAGAAAGCCAAATAATTTGACTAAAAGCATGCAAGTAAAAAAATATAGAATTCCCAGACCGATTTATTCAGAAATTTATTATTTTATCAGCTTTTCAAAAATGTGCATTAATATTCAACATTCAAAAAAACACAAATGCAAAAACAAAAGAAATATAACTTTTTTCAGCAGATTTAATCATAGAGCATCATACTAGAAGCTCAGAAAGGACATTTCTAAAGCTCAGATCATTTGTCCATCTTTTGTTCCTCTGAAACTAAACCAGCTTGACTCTGGTGACTTTTTAATGCTATAAAACTTGAACAGATGCATCATTTTCTTTCCAAAGAGATTAACAGGAGCGTGGAGAAGGAGCGAAGAAATAAACCGCTAGAACGATGAAGTACACCACTACTAGGGCTGTACCTGCAAAACAAATCAAAGAGGAATATAAATGAAAGTTGTCTGCTCTTTAAAACATGTATTTTAGTTAGATTTTCTACACGCATATCCATTGAGTCTTGCAAACTAGAAGCATCAGTTTGTAAAACAAGGAACCTACCCTGAAAGTAGTCACATTTTCCATCCATGAAGATGTAGTTTACCAGAACAACACTAAAGATGCTGGCCCAAAGATGAATATCACTGAATACAAGCACAAATCCCACATCCTGGGTGCAAAGAAAATTCTAAATGAATATTAAACCAATCTCAGGCTAGGCAGTTTGTCACAGACATTGCATACAGTTTACTTATAGAGTCAAATGTGGCTTTTATTTGTCAATCACATTTTCAGTGAGAGATTAGCCTACTGCAATAAAAAGTGAATATATTCTTTTCATTTTTTACAAAATGGTGACGAATGTTGAAAGCTCAAAATGAACAACAGTTAAAGCTTACTTACATAGAATGCATTAAACAGGACAAGAAGCGGAATCTGGATCATGCAAACCTGCACAGCAATGCAACTGCCTACTTCGAGGCTGCAAAGAAGAACATTTGCACATTTTATAAACGGATTACTCATATTCAAATTTCTAAAATTTATAGATATTATATAAAGACAACAGCTATAACAATCTAACCTTAAGCTGATGTTGTTCTGGAGTGCAAACTGGATGCCATTGACAATCTCTGGAAGCTCTGGTACCATTGCCAAGACGGTGACGCCAATGAAGTACTGCAGGGAAACAAAGTGCAGCTCAGTTCAACTAGAGAAGCTCTAGTTGAATCATTTGAACCAGATTATTGCCTAGTTTATGGCTTCAGACATGGTGTGTCTTAACTACCTGGGAGATGGAGGAATGACTCAGTATGGGCTCTATGTTGACAGTGCAAAGGTCTGCACAGCTAGCCATGAGAACTGTGGCAACAATCAGCACAGCGAGAGCCCTCCATCTGGACCAGTGCACAACATGATGACCTGATGGCAACAGAGGTCGTATCAACTCACAAAAACTCATAACATGTGTATTTCTATGAAATAATTGTCTACCATCCTTAAACATTTTAAATAGCCCTCAAATATTGATAGTCAACAAAGCAGTCATTTAGCAGGAAACAGGGTTTTTCCTGTTTTCAACATAAATATCTTGGAAATCAGAAATGGTTTGAAAACAATTCAGATATGATTTCTTAATCTAAAGTAGTTAATGCGTTAAATCCTAAAGCCCACAATAGAAACTCCAACAAGGCTCCATGAAATGTTTTGGTTACATTCTATTAATGAAAGTAAATCTACATGCAGATGATGCATTTCAATTCCTACTTTTTAGCATAAAAAAACAAAAACAAAGTGAGGAACACAAAATTTAAAATTCAAAACAATAATAAAATATTTCTAGTACCGGTAAAACATTTGTGGCAGCACTTTTACTTAAAATGAATTTGACCAGTTTCGCGTAGAAGATTGATAACTTCATTACAGCTCTCTACTCACTCTTGGTTCACAGTTTCAGCATGCATGACTACCTTCACAAACTGTTAAGATAGTCACATGCAGATTGTAGTTACTCCGACAGGTAACATGCAAAAAGATTTGAATTTTTCATGCAAAGAACCACATGCACCCCACACACCTTTCAAATTGTGGCTAGGTGCAATAACGCAGGCATTAATACACATGTTGGTAGGAACCAGACGGGCTGCTGTGACCTCACCAGTGGGATTGTTGGTGATGGTACTTTGCCGTGCATACTGACCGTGCGGTTGGCCCCCATGACCATCACTGACATGGATATCATAAATGTGGGCATGGGTTTTTAATGTGAAAATGAGCCCGATCAGATACGATGCAGGCAGCAGGACAGAAATGGTGTATACCAGAGGCCTAGAAAACAACAATTCCTTCATGAATCCATACACAAGATGAGTAAATACAGTAAATGTGTATATAATCCTGTTTGTAGCCTCTGGACTTACTCAATATGGGACAGAATCAAATGTGGGTCAGCTGTGCTCTGTTGCGAGCAATAACAATTTTAGATCATTAGATACATTTATATATCAATTCAAACTTAGTGAAGTCAAATAAAAGCATTACTATAAAATATTTGACTTGTACTGAAAAATAAACAAACAAACAAAAAGCTGCCTACCGTGTCATAGTGGCAGTCATTGCAGATGAATGGTACAGTAGCATTGCCCGGGGTACTAGAGCAGCTTTCACACACCAGATTACCAAAAGTCTTTGAGAAAAGGGTGGGTGCAAACACACCTACAGAAAATAAAGCACATAAACCTTGTTAGGATGGATATAGTCTGGGAAGTGTGTTTTGGAATAACTCATTAGGAGACACAATCCTTACCTCCAATGGATATAAAGAGCAAAGCCGAACTCACTCCAGCTGAGCGACTGTTAAATTTCTGTTCACTGTGTTTGATGCCCCCAATAGTCATACAGATACCCTGCAAAATTGAAAGAAGTTATGACACTTCAATACAACGTAAAGTAATCCATGTACAGCTTTTGCATAACAGTGGACATGTGCTGTCCTCTAAAAATAAATACAGCCAATAAATTAAAGTCAAATGAGGATATGATAAAAAGATATCTGCTCTGCATAAAGATGGCTTAGGTTGTGCAAACTGAGGAAGTCCATACAGATAAGTAAAATCAAAATAAAGTCCATACAGCAGTTTAACAGCACAGCTTCCACTCACAACAGGCCTTTTTGACCAAAGAAGCTGAGTTCACATGGTGAGCTTGTCAAGGCTCTGACAAAATGCCGCACACTGTATTAAGTCAGTCTGAAAAGCTGTCCTACTAGGAGAAAGCCTATCCTAAGGATTATATAATTGAAAAAAAATTTAGTTGTTAAATGTACTATATAAATAAAGTTTGTTTGATATACAAGAAGGTTTAACAATTTGGTTTAAACCTTTTTTGCCATAAACAGTTTGCTGAAAAACAAGCCAATTAAGATTAAGTAACCAAATCCTGTGGTTTAGCGAGAACATTTTTACTTGGCGACTGCAACATTTCCACTCCAACAGCCATCATTTGTAAAATACTTTAGATCCTCAAATTTCTCTCAATGACACTTACTGGTATGAACAGAATGCAGCCAATGAGAGTCCCAGCCAGTGCCGATTTGACAATCTCCTCATAACATTTAGTGGCGGCGCGGTGCCCTCGAAGCAGCGCCGTGATGTAGAAGGTCATCTCTGTGATGGAACCAAATGTTGCATTGACCACTGCTCCCACTGCGAAGTTACTCTGTGCAGAAATGCTGAACAGACAAAATCACACTGAAACAATTAAATATGCAGAATGCAACTCTTTTGCAAAATACATTCATAAGTTTTTTAGTGAGTATCTCAAAATCAAATGCATCTAAGCCCATAATGGAAAGATATATGCCGTCTTAAAAAGATAGACATAAAAAAAATTAATAAATAATGATGCCGATTCAATCTTGCTTTAAAAAAAAGGTTGCAAGTAAGAATTGTTGAAGAAATTGATAAGGCTACATATTATCCCAAAAGACTTTTAAAAGTCTCAGAAGTTTTTGGGACAAGGTCAGGAGATCAATTTTATAAGGACAGTGCATCAGCAGCTCACAATAATTAACACTGTTTCAGAAAAAGAGTCAAAACTAAATTTAATTGTGAATCTGTGGCAAGACTAGCAAACTGATTTTTACAGATGCTTTTCATCTCATCTTACCAAGTTTAATATTTTTGGAGGAAAGCAGGTAAAAATCCAAATCGTTGAACATTTTTTTTGCCTAATTAAAAAAAAAAACAAAAAAAAAAACACAAAATTATATTTTACCTTGCTATTCCCATGCCAATATAGTAGGACAGGGGAATGATGGAAGTGATGGCTATTGTAAACATCGTCTCTGCACTGAAGTATTTATGCTCTCGGTCAGTGTAGCCAATTATTAAACTCATAAATACCAGAGGTAACAGGTCTGAAGGAGGAAATTAAGGAGGAAAAAAAACAACAGGTGAATCCAAAAACATGCACGGTAGGTTTTACATGTTCTGAAATGCTGTTTAATTATAAATGGTTCACACATCCATGATGTGTTAAAAAGGATACTGAGAGCAAAAATGTTGATCCCCTGGACAGTGTATTTGTAGTAATACACATTAAAGGCCTGGTAACAGTATAAGACAACTCTGGTCTCACACACATTTGTCTGCAGGATATATATATATATATAAAAAAAACACAACATTAAATGGTTAAGAAAATGACAAACATGACAAAGTTTTGAGCTTCAGTTTGTATGGAGTCAGCTTGCACTCTTGCTATGAAAAGTGATAAGATTAAAATGTACATAGCAAAAGGAATTCAAGTTATTCAAAATTATCAATTTAATTCTAACAAAAAATAAAATAAAAATTCCTCCAGGCATCATTTCAACTGGCTTATGGTTTGCTTAAAGAAAGTGTTGACAAGGACAAAGCCTTGGGGAAAATAGCTACAGATGCTGTAATTATGTCTCTTTACCCAAACTGATTCACAGAAAAAAGATATTGTGACTTAACAGTTTGAATCCACATAAACATCCATCAGGAAAAAGGTCCTTAATGATGCAGAAAGAAGAACATCTAAAAACCATTTATATGTTGAATTTTTTCACTTTCTAAGCAGATTTACATTAATCCAATAACTCTAATATGTACAAAAAGATAAGAAACTTTGCCAATACCTCCCTTGCTAATAGAACTAGCTGTAATTTGATGAAGAACAGTGATAGGCAATTTGTTCAGGGATCAAACATACCTTAATCCTATGTAGTGACCTACTCACACTTTTGCACAGAAGTGATGCCTTTTTGATTTTCTAACTTTATTATTGACCCTCATTCGCAAATACAAAATAATGACAAACAATATAAAAGAAAGGTTTTGTTTTTTAAAACAAAATCCATCCGTCTCAAAACCTATGACTATATACAAGGTACATAATCAGTTCAAAGTTAACTGTTTTGGTGTAATTTATGTTCAATATCAATTTAATGAGTTTAGGAAACCTTATCAAGAGCATGGATCTCAATGTCCTCTGGGGCCATGAGGAGAACTGTGGTCAGGATGCGGCTGTTCATTTTTGCAATAGGGATGGAAAAGACTGGAAGCCAGGACAGAACGCATGCGAGGGAATGGACCACTGCCAGAAGCGGGTAACCCAGCAACAACCAGAGAAAAGTGCTGAGGCGACACTGCAGAAATGCATCAGAGATTGATTTAGTCAGAAAATCTTGGGAAATGATTCAATCAGTTTGGAAACTCTTACCCAGTGTGTTGAGGTTTTCCGTGGAGAAAGAGGTGGAACAGGAATCTCAACAGGGAGGGGGGAGGACACCAGGAGTGGAGCACAGTCCTTGGCTCCAGCTAGATCCTTATCATCTTGCTCTTGTGGAATAATCTCACAGTTTGTTGGCTTCACCGCAGATATATTGACTAAATGACAAGCCTAAAATTTTAAGGGATCAGTCATATAATGAATAGCTCATTATAAAGTGTATTGAGATTTAAAAAGAATTTTTTTTAAAATAAAGTTACCCTCTGTATGGACTTTCCAAATGGCCAAATTATATACCAGGCCAACTTTAAACAGACTTTACCTGAAAGAAACAAAACAAATCACTCAACATGCAGAAAACAAAGTGTCTTAATGGTGCTGCTTGTTCTAGAATACAAACCATAAGGGGCCCCGAGGATTGTGAGAAACATCACAGGACAAATGAGCAGATAGATTAATGAGGTCCACCAGCCAAATAAAAACACATAAACTATATTCCCAAAGGTCACAACTGGAGCTGGAGGAATGAAAGCAGAGAAATTTCAGGAAAGTGGTTAATGTCATGTTAAAGATTCGACCACAGGGTTGTAAAATATATAGCAAATTAAACCATTGTAGCATCCCCACTGTTTACATTGTGCATTTTTTCAGAAATGCCAAGACAGCAATAAATGCAAAGGAATCATTAAAATAACCAGTGTCCAGGCTTTCCTTTAAACCCAATTAGTTGACATTTAGTGCAGTAAGGTTTTAGAGGGTAAAGAGATGATATGGGGTCAAGGTTTTTAAACATTAGCTAAACTATCATATTGCCAAAACAGTAGAAGTCAGCCAGAAGCAACTTTTACAGTAATCCATCTTGTTAATGTGGTCATAATGAACAAAGTCTCCTAATAGTCTCTCCTGAAGCTGACGACTCTGCATCTAGGACCTAGAACCTTTGAACCTGAATCACAAAGGCCCCTTTTAAAATAATACATCCATCACTGTTATGTGGTTATCACTACACTACTACTGTAATGTGCAGCCCTATTTAATAAAAACAAACAACAGACATAAAGGACCTTCTATGTGCTTTACAATGCTGAGATCAGTGTGCAGTTCTTTGTCAATGTCAGATCTGTCTTCAATTGGTTTCTCAGTCACATTGCCTTTCCATTTTCTGAATCCAAACTGGAAAAAGAGAAATACAGAAAGATTTATTAAAGTTGAAGAACACTTACAGAATAAAATTTGGTAATAGCGTTTTTTAAGGCAATTACAGCTCAGTCAGATCATTATTTGCAGTTTTTTCTGTTAGACATGTGAAAGACCAGATTGTTTCCAGCCTAAAGGCGCTCTTTAGTATAGTTACCTCATAAATAAATTAAAGCACATGCCTTAAAGTCATGCAGATCCCCCATAGCACATCAAAGGCAATAAGGTTAATGATCGGAGAAGTTTGAATGACAAAAAGGCTTTCATTCATCCTTGTTGTATCAGGTATTCCTTTCATGAGCAAAGCTGAGAGAAATCATGTTTTTTTTTGTTTGAATGACAGAATTTAGCAGTGAAAGAGCTGATTTGATGCAGTAAACATCACCTACCCAGAGGTGTCAAACGTATTCATATTAACTCAAACAGAAGTATAAATCCTGCTGTTTGAAAATAATTATCTTAGGCTTTTTACTCAAATAAAAAGTACAGAAGTAGCATTTTTTATAACTCCTTAAAGTATAAAAGTAATCCAGAAACAATGTTAAGGACTGATGCTTTAGAGCCCTAGCCTATTAAAAGAACATGGATCTACAACTTTGGATGATAATTTCCTTAGTTTAATAACTAATAGTAACAGTGTCAAATTTAACTTGGCATCATCTTGTCAATGTATTTTGGTATGTGGTGAACAAAAAGTTGGTGCAGTACCGAGTCCAACCACAAGGAAATAAATTGTCTGGAAGAAACAAATTATTTTGCTTTTTTTTTTTAATACCAACAGAACATAACAAAAATGAGCTTAAATGAAACAAAACCAAAGAGTCTATTTTTAAAATGTAAGGAGTAGAAAGTAGAGATAATTGCAAAAACAATGAAAGGTGTAAGAATAAAAAGTTGCATGAAAAACAATTCCTCCAGTAAAGTATAGAGAGCCAAAAATTTCTACATAAGTTGAAGCATTTTTACTTTGTTACTTGACACCTTTGCACCTACCTTGTAGTTGTTAGCCTCTCTGTGTGCTTCCACCTCATTATCAACTCTGATTGTGGTCCTCGAGGTACCATCATGCCATCCTTCCTCTCCATGCCTTGGAGGAGAGTTCCCATGTGCCCCTATATCGATAAAAAACTTGATTAAATTCCTTTCTAACAAGTAAAATATATAAAGAAAGAGACATGAAAGAAAGGGGACTTTTGATAAGAGCTGGTGCAATTCTGAATATATCACCTCTTGAGACAGCAAGCAGACATTTTGGAGTGAACTGGCAGAAGTGTTGAGCAGAACCATCTGGGGAAGGTGTCGCCAGCGCACCTATGTCTGCATGATTGGGGCCAACACACAGCCTTTCAGGCAGCCGTGGGAACCGCTGGTGATGCTCAGGATCGCAACAGTTGTCTGAAAAATGATCAAGACATTGAACAGGTTTCAGAAGTGAAACGAATTATACATTTTGCACATTTTTAGATTAAGAGTTTATCTAAGAAGGCAAGATAGGTAGTTATTAAGAGCCAAGTTATGAACGGTTTCCATTTGATTCATGATTTGTTATTTAACAAAGTTTTATATGTACAGTATTTTATCATAGTATGCTTTTTTACTGTCTTGTGAACTGTTTTAGAAGTTTGAACAGTCCACTAGGGCATTAATTCCACACTGGGGGTACACAGACCCCCAGTGGTCCATGAATGCATTGCAAGGGGTAAATGAAAAGAGAGAAGTTTTGTCATTTTGTAAACACAGTGCATACAAAACGAAATTTCATTTTGTACAGCTTTCAGACAGTAAATGACCAGCAGATTAGCAGTGAAATTAACATTTATATTTAATACAGTGCAGCAGTGATCCAATGTGAACAGTGTGGGAGGAAAAAAACATGGTGCAAAATTCATTGATATGGAAGTTCAGAGAATTTCAAGACACGTATGTAGGGTGCAGATATGCAGTATTTTGGTTTGGTGTTATCAGTGTGATGCAGAGTCTTTGACTTGCAAAGCCTCTTCCCAGAGGGCAGAAGGGAGAACAGTCCATGGTGGGGGTGTGAGGGGTCATGATGAGGTTACAGGCTCAGGACATGCTGCGCTGGGATGAAATGTCTTTAATGGAGTAGAGTGGAGCCCCAAAATAGGGCTTGAATCTGTGTTGCTTTCTGAGCACCCAATTCAAAAATTAAACAAGCTTTTATCAACAAAAAAGTTAAGTTTTTCTTATATGTTTGAGTTCACCTTCAGCTTTGTCACACATCCAAACCAAGCAGAGGAACAGACTGGTACACTGAAAAAAATAATGCAACCACTTTGGCATTAACCTAATCATATTTAGTTACTTTAACACAATTGTTTATATCCTACTAACATGAAACAATTGTGTTAAACTAACTAAATATGATTATGTAAATGCCAAGAAACAGATGCATTATTTTTTTTCAGACTGACTGAGCTATCAGAGCTCATCAAAGCAGCTCAGGTGTCTTGATGCAAACCAAGTTAAAGTTTTTAAGTCGGTCCGACTAAAATTTTTGATCTGTAATTTGTTCCCAATTCATCAAGTTTAAATGTTACTCAGAGCACCTCCACTTTTACAGATAAAGGGTTAAAATATTATTTTGAATTTATTTTGATTCCTTTCTAACTTGCAGGCAACATACTTATGTTTTTTTTATTATTATTTTAGATGGAAAGCAATAAATGCCTAAGAATTAAATGCTAAAAATTAAAAGCTTAAGTAAAATATTTTTTTAAACTTTATAATCAGTTATTTTATGTTCCACTTTTGGACAATCAATAATTCTGACTGAACGTGTTACTCATAGGGGTACACATGTCAAAACAGGCTAGGAAACACTGCTCTAAGGACCAGGTATAAATGTTATTGTTCAATATTAACGCCTGCCTCAAATCAATTGTAAAAAATAAAATAAAATGCATAATAAAGCAGAGCACGTGGATTGCAAAAAAAACAACCGTGACTAAATCACTCCTTTGTAACCTGTGTGAAACTAACAAAAACCTCATGAGAGTCATGAAGAGTCCCCCTTTTTTCTACGGTCCACCAAAACTAATCACATTATGGATGCATTACACCCCCCAGATGAAAAGTTCCTGCATCAATTTGAAATTTAAAATAAATACATGCAAGTAGGAATACAAAATATTTTGTCAATATCAACAAACGTTTGTTTTCTGGTGTAAAAAGGAAAAAAGTCCAGGAATAGGGAGCGAGTAAAACAATTATTCATTTAATAATCAACTTATTGGAGCGTCTGCAACTTTAACAACGACTAACTTTAGACTAATTATCACATTTATTATTAATGCAAAAATATTTATTAGAAAAAAAAAAATTGTAAAAGCAGAGCCAGAGAAGTAAATTATTATTAGATTCCAAAATTGAGCTTAATACTTTAAAGAACTGAAACTTTTAAAAACTTAACATTTAGACCCCTTAGTGGCGCAGGTGGATTTAATTAAAACGCTAAAAAAAAAAAGAACAACTTAGTAGTTTTAGTAAAAACCGACAGCTTCATTTGTAGCATTAAACCCAGGTGTGTGTATGTGTGGAGAATTGGGTAGTTTCTATCACCTGTTGATTCAGCCACAGATCTTTTCCGCAGGTTATCCACATCTCCGGACAGCAAGGAAGACGCTTTAAATGACATTTCTCTGGAGGTTTTTCCTCACTCCAATGCGTTCTGGTTGCTCCTTCTCCTCTTTATGCCTCCTGTCCTCCTGACTGGCTGCTCATTACGCACAGAGACAGAGAGGCGTGGAGTGCTTCAATCTCTGCTCTTTATTTTCTCCCATGACTGAGAAATGATGTTAATTATCTTTACTCAGGTTTATCATATGAGTTAAATGCCTATGTATTATATGTAAAGCCTAGATTATTTAGTTTTGATCTTTCACTTTTTTTTATTTTGATTTTATTTTGCATTTAATGAAAGTCTGTGTAGCGCCCTCTAGTGGTTTAATGGAGACAGTAAAATAAAGCTGCAAACTCAACTTGAGGTGCTGAATTCAACCTTACTTACTCAGGAGAGGTATCTATATCTAAGTACACATTTTAGGTATATATACTTCTATTCAATTCAGTTTATTTACATAGTGCCAATTCACATCACATGTCATCTCAAGACACTTCACAGTTCACCAGATCATACAGTGAAATTGATTCAAAGTTTTCTATCTAAGGAAAACCAGTTGATTGCATTGACTCGAATGCAATCCCTCACACTAAGCATGCTTGTAGCAACAGTGGAGAGGAAAAACTCCCCCAGGAAACACACAGCCAGGCAGATGAGCTCCTGGACCAACTCCCATGTCAGAGGATGAAGAGAGCACAGCCAGTCACAGTCAGAGAAAAAGGACTAGACTGGAAAACAGGCCAATCTCCAAAATCTATAAACAAAGGTTTTGATGGCAGCAGCACAGCTGATATTTCTCTCCAGGATGGTGTCACAGGCAAACAGGAACAGACAAGGCGAAGCTACTATGAGAAAAAGCAGAGAGAGCATAACATTAAAGATTGAACTAACAGATTAGAGTGGGAGTATAGAGATAGAATCCAACAAAATGGTGAAATAGGGGTCCCTATGTCCTCCAGAAGTCTAAGCCTATAGCAACATAACTATAGAGATAGCTCAGGATAACCTGAGCCACTCTAACTATAAGCTTTATCAAAAAGGAAAATATTAAGCCTACCCTTAAAATTAAAACTGGTAGTTGGTTCCACAGGAGAGGAGCCTGATAACTAAAAGATCTGCCTCCTATTCTACTTTTAGAAATTCTAGGAACCACTAGTAAACCTGCAGATTGAGAGCGAAGTGCTCTGTTAGGAACATAAGGAACAATCAGATCTCTGATATAAGATGGAGCTTGGCCATTTAAGACTTTATATGTGAGAAGGAGGGGTTTAAATTATATTCTGGATTTAACAGGAAGTCAATGAAGAGAAACCAATGAAGAGTTAATGAATACTCCATTACTTCTTTACTCCATTACTCTTTCCATTACTCTTTCTTCCTACTTCTGACTTCTACTCATTACATTTTCACACAAGTATGTGTACTTTCTACTCCTTACATTTTTAAAACAAACATTACTCATCAAGTGGAAATGCTTATGCACACACATTTTTACACAGATTTTTTAAGTGTAACTTACCCTATGTAAAAATATAATCCCTCCCACAGACATATATTAGAAAATGGCACCAAAGTGGTTGATGCCAAGAGATCCTGAGGGGCAGGGGTTTTGTAATGGGTTTGGTCAGGACGAGAGAAAGTGGCAGCTAGCCTGGTTCAGCCTTATTGAAGCATGGGCAGTGAGCAGATGCATGCTGGCGGTTCCACCGTAGGTAGTTTTCAAAGGTGGAGGAGTTTAGCGATGCCCAAAGCTGATGCTACCTAGGTGGTGGACAGGAGGACTGAGGATGTCTAAATAAAGTGGTTTGATGATGACAGTCTGAATCTGCATGTATTGTTTGAAACTATAAGAAAATTCAACTGCAATTCCCAACCTTCATCTACTAAGGGTAGCACTAAGACGGTTTTAGTAAAATACCTGAGGAGGTTACTGTACATTAAAAAGAAAGATATGGACAGTAACATTAAAACAGCGTACCGTACGCTCAGATCAAACAGATCAAGTGTGAGGTAAAATAGTATCTCTTAACCAACACAATCCAAAATGCCTAAAAAAGCATACATTAAAACAGCTGCTGCTCTTTAACCCTTGGAAGGGTCTAAACTCCTCTATAAAACCACTGTAATGGCAGACAGTAGCCTTATTGTGGCAGTATGAGGCTGCAAATTTGAAGCCCCACATACGTCCTGCCTACAGGATGTGACCAGTTAAAAGGTCCCACCTAAATAAACACCATTACCCTGAAAAATAACTAAACTAACTAAATACTCTACTATATCAGTCTGGAATCATGTTAAAAACAAAACTAGTAATGTTGTGGTTGTCCAGACTAATTTGCATTGAAGAATCCAACCAGGCCTGTTTCTGTGGTATTACTTTTATTTCAATAAAAAACAAAGCAAGCATAGCTGCACAGTTAAGTGATCAAATTTAACCAGACAATGCAAATCTGTTAGCAAAATACAAAATCAGAAGTATTTACTTTTCAGAGAACTCTTTTTTTTTTATTGAATATTTGAATAATTCCTGCACATGGGCTATGCTACATTTCAGTTATTGAAATAGTAGTAGCAAATAGCTTAAATAAATGTACATATTTGTACTAAGTACATATAAAAACAAGGTATTGTGTTAGCTATAAAACAATAGACAGTATACTTTAACCTCCTTTATCCACAGTAAACATAACTTACATACCACCTTGTTTTGGTTAAAGCAAAAAGAACAGTGGAACATTTATTTGAAATAAAAAAAAAACAGCCATGTCATCCCTTTTTATTCATCAGCCTTGCAGAACATATACGCTGTATAAAGAATATAAACAGTGCCTTAATTTAAACAGGGGGACAAATGTTCTGCAGAGAAACTGCCCTTTCAAAGCATCTGTGATGCGTACAAAAATCTAGACTGAAGAGGACGAGAACGTACAGAGTCCACTTTAAGCACAATTTTTACAATAGTTCATACATATTTTTTTTTTTTTTTTCGAAATATACAAAAAAAGTGGAAACGTGAAAGTAAATCTGAGAAATTCAGCTTTACTAAATAAAAATGTTCTTCAAACAAAATACAGAGATGCGTTGTTGCACCAGGCAACAACTCAAATATAAAACAAGACTGCATATTTTACAAATAAAGGCAGAGAAACAGATCAATAACAACACAATAAGTGACAGATCAATAGATTATCTGTAAAACTGAAGTAAACAAACCAAGTAGGAAACTTAAGAGTCTAATGCAGGCTTTACTCTTCCCCTCTGAACTTTTACTCTGCTGTTTAGTAATACATGTCAAACTCCAATTAAGTCACTTTCTAATACTGTTGATACTAGAAACCGTGAGTTAAAACATCAAGTTAGCTTATTTTTCAGTTCCTTACAGGAAAGGCATACATTTTGTCTAAAGAAAACAGTAGCAACAGAAGTTTGTTTCATACAGTAAAATCATCTTGAACTGGAACATCACGTTGCTTTTTTACCGATCAGTAAAGCTGCTGCAAAGAAAATGACACACGTTTTAGGTGTAGACTGGCTACAGGTATAAAGATATGTAAAAGTTTTAACAGTTAATTGAAATTTTAATTTAATTTTAAAGAAAGTGATTTGTAAAGCACAGAGGAAATTTCCAATTCCAAGAGTCATTATTTAACCAGCTGTCTGTAAGCAGGCTTCCATACATTTCTATTATATGTTAGGAGTGTTGATCTAGTGGGTTAGAGCAATGCACTTGTGCTCTGAGAAGGTTGCAAGTCCCCCGTTTGATCCCTGCAGCCTCCACTTTGGGCTCTAGATAAAAAAAAAAATTAAAAAAATCAATTGCTGGGAGCATGGGTGGTTCTAGACAGGGGCCAACGGGGGCCAGTGCCCCTGTAGATCTTGTCCTGGCCCCTGTACTGAAGACATAATACTCAAAGAAATTCTAATGATGATATACGCTGGAACAGACATCGTTACTGATAAGTTCTTTGGATCCATTTAATTTCTTTTTTCTTTATAAATTCAGTTTTACTAATAATTTAAAAACAATAAGTTGATAGCTTCAGTGGGATTGGGATAGGAATCCCATTTTTCATCTGCTAAATGTTTTTTTTTTTTAACAAATTAAAAAAAATACTTTTTTCTAATTCAGATTTTATAGAAAACAGTTACTTTAACTAAAATTAAGTCGAAAATATGTAAAATTCCTAAATTCTGAATGTATATTGACCAAATAAGACATAGACTTTTAATCAAACCTAATTAAACAGAAATTTTACCTTATGCAGCCATCTAAATATATTGGAATCCCTAACCCTATTTTTTATTTCATGCTTTTCTGTGCCCCCATGAAAACAATGCTGGCCCCCTCCTGGCCCCCTGGTACACTTGATCTAGAACTGCCACTGGTTGGGAGAACAGATAGAGGAAATTTGGCCGGTTCAAAACTGTGGTGGACTGATTGGTGCATCTCTATAACTAACATAGTAGTTTAGAACTAGCCAGCTATATTAGATTATTAAAGGGTAGTGTCAATAATAGTATTTACTGTTTAAAATAAAAGCATTTAGCAATATTATACAGATTTGTGCTGTTTTGTCAAAATGCCATAAAGAATTTTAGACTGAATGTAATCACACTGAGAACGTTTTACCAGCCCATGCTTACAAGACATGGACAGTTTAGCTGCCTGATCTGTTTTATTACACGTATGCAATAGAACACAGGGTATATTGTACAGAATGCAATATAAAAACTAATCTTTTCTATATATATATATACAGATTATTTTTCTCTTTTGTGTCTCCATACGTCTCTTGCACACATACACTCATACAATGTAAATAACAGACTTAAAACTGACCACACATTTAAGACCCTGGTGTTGTTGGGTCTGGTGGAGTTCAGAGGAATGTTTTTAGGTTACCCCCAGTTATTGGTGTTCTTGCTGTTTTAAAAATCAGAGTCAGCATCCATAAGCTCTGCTTCCATTAAATTGGTCCTGGAGTGGATGGGTCCATAGCCAGCCCTGCGGCCCGCTGGTACCCGTGCCACATGAGCCATTCTCTCTGACAGCCCGCCAGGATGATCCATCCCTCCTGGGAACATTGATGATCCACCAGGCTGCCGGTTTGAAGTCAAAGGGTGACAGCGCGGCCTAAGACCCAGGTTTTCCGGACAATCAACCTGAGTCATCAGATAACTATTTTTACTGCTCTGACACTGCAGGTAAGGACACCTCTCCTCATAAGGTTCAAAATCTGGTAAAGAGCCTGGCAGATTCTCCTGCTCCAACGTCAGCTCCCTCTGCTGTTCACGCAGATTGGCCACCAGGCTTGGGTGACAGGGAAGTTTAGGCAGTCGGGGAACTGCGCTGCGGCCAAACTCTCGCTGAAGGCAAGTTTGGTTTTCCACCACCTCTTCCGGCTTTCGCACCTCCTTCCTTCTTTTCTTCTTCTTCTTTTTCCTCTTTATCATCTCAGGTGATATCTCTGCCTCCACCATCCACAACTTGTTCCTCGCCTCTGGAGGGGGCACTGTTTGAAAAGATGGAGAAAAAAGGGATTAAATAAGCCAAACATAAAATGAAGCCAAACATGAGCAACTTTCCAAAAGGGAACTTCGTCACAATGTGCCATGTGTTTATTACAAAGTTCAATGACTTGTTTTTTTATCCTGTTGTTTTTGTGATCTACAAACTCAAAGTAATGCATACATGTGAAGAGGTTATTGTGAATTAAATGTCCCACCAACTTTTCCTTCCACTTAACATGCTATGCTAACATAAACCAAAAAAATACAGTGAATTTTGTGCTTAAAAGGTAACTCAACTCAACTCAAACTTTCTTTATAAAGCACATTTAAAACAACCGCGGTTGACCAAAGTGCTGTACAGGAATCACAGTTAAGGAACATAAGATAAAAACTGAAGGCAAAAATACATAAACACATAAAAATAGAATAGGATAAATGTTTCAATTAAAATACATTTTAAAATAAAATAAAATCTAAAATAAAATTTTGCCAAATGTCCACTTAGACATGATTAAAAGCCAGGGAGAGGAAATGTGATTTTAAAGAGGATTTAAAAAAACTCAAAGGAGTAAGTAAAACAACATATATTGGTCAAAGGGTATAAATACTCTTGCAGGGAAAAGTCTGCATTAAAATTTTAAATCAAATATCAGAATAGGCAAGTTTCTGTGCAAAAGCTGCAGCAGACCCAGAACTCACCTGGTGTCCCAGTGGGAGTGACAGAAATGTCCTGAGGCAGTATGGCTCCACGTCTAGCGACCATCTTGGTCACGTGTAACGCCCATGCCGATGAAACATCATTGGATGGCTCGTTCAGCTCAAAATTAATTCCAGCTATGAAACAAGGAATCACAGAGTCTCAACATGGAATCATTGCATAAGCGCAAGACAATTAAAAGAAGCCTAATAACACAAAATATTTTTTCCCTGTGACATTTGACTTTATTACACAATTTAATTTATGGTTTGATTTCTTTGTATGTGTGGATTGCATTGTTAGCGACATCTGGTGAAAATGCCATGTCAGTATTACCTTTAGAAATATATTTACTGAGGAAAAATGGTGGCATGTTCAATACTTATTCCTCCAAATGTATATATGACATAGTGATCATGCAAAACTGAATCTTTCTTTATTTTAGTTACATGATTCTAGTTGGTGCAGCCATTTTTAATTTGAATAAATTGAATAAATAACTAGGTTCTGTCCATATTTTCATGTGGAGTATGACCACCTGAAGACCAACACAGTAGTGGTTATTGATCAAAAGATGGAGCGTTAAAAGGGAAAATGTATTTCCATGAGATTATCACATACTTACCCACTGGGCCATCGTGTGACATGGTGTGCATGCTGAAGGAAAGCTCCTTCTCCGGGTCCTTGTGAAGCTCCTTTCTCATTGCAAACGCCTTAGCAATCATTTTGCTCTTCTTGATCCTTTTGGGTTCATTGTCACTGCGACCGATGATCCTGGAAATGGAACAAAGAGTGAGAGCATGCCAATGATTTGCTTTGGTAGGTGTCAAAATAGTATTTTCTATTAAAAAAGGAAAGTTTAATACTTAATAGTTGCTTACTTGAACCAAGTGCGTTTCCAGATGAGAAAGGTGGCCTTAGTCCAGACCCAGGTGCTCATAGCTATTCCTGTCCCGAACATGGAAAACAGATTGATCTTCTCTACCATCAGACTGGGACGGTTTTTAATGGTGCATTCTGGGATGGGCTTATTGGTTTGAGAAGCAATTGTCACATTGGCTTCACACCTGGAAGAGACATCAAGAACATTTAGACCTGTATAGTCTGATAAAAGATGGACTTTTGCAGGAGAGGATGTGCTTTTCGCCCTTTAAATCAGTTTCAACCCCACCTATAGTCAACATTGCAAACACTGCTTGATGGACATTAAGCAATTAGTGATTTCTGTATGAAATGCATTTATATCACTTTGCTTAATTAAGTCCAAACAAATATACTGATAAATGCAAAAGCCTGGGGTTAACATCATAATAAAAAATTAACTTTTCTACTTACAAGCTATTTAAAGTGAAAGTTAGTAAAATATTTTCTTTTGATGTTAAGTCTTTTGGAAAAAATTACAATAGAAATGGATTCATTTAATTTTGCTTTCAATTAAGGCTGAAACAATCAATCAGATTATTTGTGATTAATCAATTATTGAAATAATCAACTAATTTAGTAATCGATTACTCGAGTATAGAAACTTCAAAACATGCCTTTAGCTGACAGAGCGACCTACTTAGAGCAGCAATTAGGGAATAAATCCTTTGTTGCAATGCCAGTTGGAGAGTGGCGGCCTAGTTGTTAGGGCTGGCCAATAGAGGGCGCACCCCTCTCACCTCTTGATTAAGACATAAAAAAACAGATAAATATTGAATTATAAAATAAAAGAACATACTGATATAATTGTTTTATATAGATATTTAATCTTTTTTTCGTTTTTTTCGTTATCGGATTTGTGAAGTATTTCGGCCCTGATGAGCAAAAATCTTAGCCCATACTGTAGACTCTCGTTAAAAGTTGTACATGCGCAGTAGCTCCTCTGCAATGCAAAAGACAGGATCATCCTGGTGCGCAGCTCTCCTGCATCCATAGCTAAAAGCAACTTTATTTGCACACCACCTCCCACCTCAGAGCTGACCTCACAGTCGTCTGTCACAAAGTGCGGTTGATTGACAGGCCTGAGCTGTGGCTCTCTCCAGATTCCTCTGCTCACCCTCTCATTTAATTCGCCCAATCACCTCAGTAATGTCACTGCATATCTCTATATAAGTCTATATATAAAGAACTTACAGAACATATTCTCTGAAGCTTCTCTCCCATTCAGCCTGGTTGAAGAAGTCATAAAAGTGACATCCGAATGTGATGAAAACAAAGCCAAAGGCAAGGAATCCAAATATACCTAATAATAATAAGAAACAAAATAAATGACACAATATAAGGCAGATTATTGCGTCTTTTCCTAGTCAAGAAAAAAATATGCATGTTAAATCTATCTCTGACAATCAAAATCATTCAGCACATTTGCCAGTGTAAACAAAGCATTCTCCTGGGTCATTATATCACGTAGTGGTATTAAGATTGTTTACATTCTTTGTGCCATGTTGCCTGCTGCTTTAGACAAAACATCTGTTTCCAGAGACAGTTAGGCTCGTCTTTCAGCTCAGATTAAACTTTCAAATGTTAGGAAAAGGAACAGGACGGGCAACGGACGACATATCTCACCAAGTCTCAGCATTGTCTCATTGATTTTGCTGGCTGCTTTCTCACTCAGCAGTCCCGGGTGGTTACTCTTGATGGAAAATAAGGTCATGACACCTAGAAGAAGGATATTTTTAGAGAAAGTGCTATGAAACATGAGTTGAGTTTCAACTCCACCCTTTCTTAGAGATTGGTCACTACAGACGGTATTGGTTCTACTCAGTAGAGAATAAATTGTCAATACAAGTAATTAGCACCGTTTGCCAGCTGTCAGTGTGGGTTTCAACAACTTAATCTATAAAAAGTACTGTCTGAAATGTTTGTCTTCTTTAGTCTCACTTTGTAACCTGAATTTGACCTTAACTCTGTAATATCAAAGAATAGAAATATGTAGATTCAGTTCAGTTAAAAGCAACACTAATGCTTGAACTTTAAAAGTCAAACCATTTTTTTTTAAGGGAGTGGACATTGATTAAGTCTGACAATTTCATAAGCTGAGATGATTAGAAATCTTTAAGTTAAACTATTATTATTATTCATGCTTTTAAAAGCTAAGGAAGGATTTCAATACATAAGCTTACCCCGGATGAGGAAGTAGCCTCCAACAACTAGCACCACTCCAATGGGCGCCAGCACAAACCCAGCCCGGTAGTGGTAGTTCTTGTAGCCAACAAAGCAAATCCCGCTCACAGAGTCCCCATCCACCTTTCAATACCAAACACATAAACAAAAACTTTTAAAATTTTTTCCATAAATCGCAGAGTCTGGGATCTTAGGAAGGCTTTTTACGCACCTCAGCTAAAGCAAGGATGGCAACAGTGAGGACAAAAGGGATGGACCAGGTCACCATGTGGAAATAAGAGGTTCGTCCAGATAGCGGCTGTTGAGTTGTTCCCAAAGCCTTGAAGGAGGTGTGCCAGGCGTAGGTGAGCATGACGAACCAGATCACACCAGACATCAGGGAGTAATAGACGATGATGAAGATGGTGACACATGACAGCGTTTCTGAAGATCTACGGAGACAAAAGTGATAGAGTATTTTAATGTCCATTTCTTTTTTTTTTTTTTATGCAATCATCAGGCAATGCAGGCTTGGATCTTTCCAACTTACGAGGGCTCCCCTAGCCGCATAGTGTTGTCGCTCTTGCACACAATCTCCTTGCGTGCTCCATCCAGAAATTGGGCCAGCCAACCAATGCTGCCCACAAAGAAGCAAGCATTGATGTAGAAGAGAATGACGGCTGGGTAGCGGTTTGAGTTTTTCCAGTCAGCAAGAAATGTGGCCTGTATTGACACAGGGGGAGATGATGGCTTAATGTTAAAACTTGAAAGGATATACTGTACATAAAAGTATATGAAGAAGAAACTGAAAGGAAGGTAGAACACAACATCTAAGCAAAAGAAGGATACAAAGAGGGAAAGAAACAGGATAAAAAGGACAGAATTAAGTAAAAAAAAAAGGGCACAAGGAAGGACTGACTCTAAGGTAGTGCAGAAATAAACGACAGCATTTAGGAAATAAAGTTAGCAAACATTTTTCCAGTTATCAAAACCCAGAAGATACTGTATTCCAATTCTATACTTTTCCAGACTATGAAGGAAAAAAGGACACATGATCAGCTTCATATCTTAGTAGAGGTTGTAATGTCTCACCAAAGTAAAAAAGGTGCAGAGGAGGGTGACTGTGCCAAAGTAAGCAATGTAGGCGTGCATATCATCGTGCTCCTCTTCTGTGAACAAGGGGTTGTCACACTGGATACCACAACCTTCTACATCCTTGTACCAACTGGACTGAATGTTTGTCTTCACCAGAGGAGCTTCACACTGGCCTGAGGTGTTGAACTTCAACTTCGGAACCTGATTTTGCACAAAACATGGTGTACATTGAGAAAGGCAAATTAAACAGATCCTAAAAATTTGACCAGATATATCCTGACTCACACACTCTTACTATCCTGACCTAACTTAAGATCTTAAAAAAAAAAAACAGATGGAGAAAGTTCCTCCTTGGGGATTAATACACATAATAGAGGCATACCGAACAGCCCACTGGGAATTTGTCACATTTGAGAAAATTGGGCCATCCTCTCTCTCGATCCACGATGCTGCAAGGGCGACGTGTGGCCAAACACAGACTTTTGCTGGGCAGCTCCACTTGCCCATTCTCACATTTTGGCATGTAGATGGCACAGAGCAGTGGCTGGATTACAGACCAACAGCGTGGAGCATTTCGCAATCCTAGGAGATGAAAAGAATAACACAGAATTACCAAAAGTGCAGATATACCTTAATTATGAGATTTTTGATCAATATTGGTTATTGTGGGAAGGGATATATATATCCACAGATCAAAGCCAAAAACAATTATCCTGATCCAGTTTCTTTGCTGATCGGCTTTCCAAATATCTATAAATCAAAATGTTTTTTTTTAGATTTCACACATTTTAAACCTGTGAATATTTCAACAAATGTCTCTGTGTTTCATGCAATTTATAAGCTTGAATAAAATGGGTAATGATTTAGGATATATATGTTTTTGCCATTAGTCAGTTTCTGCTCTGCTGAAGATTATTCAGATAGCTCTATCGACTAAATTAACTCCTTAGCGTGACGTCTAGGAAAGGATACCTATTTAAAACATACCTTTAAAAGTATGTTGGTACAAACTGTAGAAAATACTTAATTCCATAGGATTTAAATGTTGCCCAAATAAAAACAAAAACAAAGTTCTTGTCCTCCCAAAAATAAAAGAAAATACAATATGAACTAGAATTAATAACAGCTTGATGCCCTTAAATTATTCTTTTATTTCCTGGTTTTTTTTAAATAATCTTTACATTTTAAGTTTGAAAAGAATCTTAACTTTCTTAATAACAAAGTCATTTAAATCCAATATAGCTGCATGTACTTAAAAATTTGTGATAGCAAAACTAACATATGCATTTTTATCAAATAAAACCAGTTGCAGATCACTCCTTTTTTACACTTTTTCCATTCTGAGATAAAGAAGTAAGCAAATACAGCCTTAATCATTGACAATGGCTCCTTCAAGGAACAGAGGAGAGAGATGAGTCTGTTTTGATATGTGCTGTAGAATCTTCACTCCATTGGTTAAAAGGATGAAAGGCTTAAAAAGGTGTGAATCCTCAAACAATTGTATGTTTAACGCTCCATTTCTCTCCTCTACATCACCTTTGTGTTATCTATGATGGCTTTTAACCCTTTCTTTCCTGCCGTTTTGCACTAAAACAGTTTTTACAGCTCACCTGAGGCCAGAATTGTTCTTCTTCACACAATAAAGCATCACACAATTAAAGAACATGACCAAATACTATTAAAACCTTGGTCAGTTTGTTCTGTCTTTCCATACATAATGTATTAAACTATTTTATGGTTTTTACATTTTGTTGTAATGCAATGCATTACTTTAAATAACTGTATTTGGTTGTTATTAAATGTGGTAGATATAGGATTGTTAGAAGGGGTGCAGATTATGACTCAAACCCCATTTACTATGATTTCCCAAAATTAGCCATGTTGAGAATGGAGCAAACATAAAAAAAGAGGTTTTCCTGATCAGGTTACATCAAAATTTTACTTATTTGTAAAGAAATCACATTATGTGGACATTCAACATTGCACATCTACTTTTACTGGAATGAAACATGGTAGTGGTAGTATCATGCTGTAGAAATGTTTTATTAAGCAGTGCAATGGAGAATAGAAAGTTAGGATTTGACTAAGCTTGTGGACCTTTAGACAAAAACTGCAGTCCCTACATGAGGAAAAATTATACAAAAACAAAAAACCTAGAGCTACAATTAATTTTATATGTGGTTCCATAAGGATTGATAAAGAGAAGTGAATAAAATGTGTACCACATTTTTCAGATTTGTTTTAAAAAACAACTTTTGGTTTGTTTTGGTTCAATATCACAATCATGCACAACTAAAATCTGAATCGATCACATTATAATTTGTGATGAAAATATAATAAGTTAAGTGAGTTTTATTACTATAATGAGTGCATCTCTGATTACCTTAACTGTTTTTATTTAACTTACCAGACCACATGGTCAGCTTTTCAAAAGCCTCCTCTTGGCTACTGGAGTCCTCAGCCAGGATCAGAGATGTATGGGTGTACGGTAAAGGTGATCCCAAGCAAGTGTTGTATTTAAGCGCCTCACAAGTTGTAGTTTTCTTGCAGTTGTCTTCAAACAATGTCCCGTTCTGGGCCAGCACTGCCCTACAGCCCCACAGCCAGGCAGCCCAGATGCAAAGCATCCCAACAATGGGGCTCCAAGCCTGGGAAGACATCTTGAAAGGAGAAATGGACCTGAGGAAAATCCAACTGCTCAAAAGAACAAGGCTTTAGGAATCAAACTGTAAGCTACTGTGGTAAAACAGAAAGATTCCCATGCTGCAGGAAAACTGCAGGGCGTTCTTTTCTTCTCTACAGTTTTCTTGAAGTCCCCTCAAACTTTTTGGCTCTGCACTTTTCGTCCGTGTGCCACAGAATAGTCCTAAATGTCCACATTATTCAGCTCAATTACTCCTGATAAAGTATCAAATAAAAAAAATAGTTAAAGATGAATCCAGATCAAATGAAGTTTTTTGCTGGATGGCTTTAGGAAGAAAACCATAACAGAGAAAGTTGCTTCGCCCTACCCCCACTTATAGAAAAAAACTGGAAAAAGTCTGAATCTCTGTAATAGGATCTTCTGCTCACATGCACCACCCACTTCTTCAGTGAAAAACTAAAACTGAGAAATGATCCTTAGAACAGTGTATACATCCCAAAAATCCGTTTTTCCTCCATGTAGAGTATCTGATGGCAGAAGTCCTTCAGATTGTTTGTGCTCCTGTTGGTTGCAGCTCAGGATCTGGTAGGCTTTTTTGTCTCTGGTATGCACATGGTGGGGGAGAGCAGAGCAAAAAAAAAAAAAAAAGAAAACCTCCTCTCCCATCCCCCCTCTGCTAGTGGAAGAATGTGCCTTATTGCTGGGGCCTTGCTCAGAATTACACATTTGAAGGACCCCAAAACCAATACTACACAGATTTGACAGGTTTGCTCCTTGTGAAAGAAGTTTATATAGACACGGACAATTCCCCACAACTCACTTTAATGTCTGTACTTAAACACCCCTAGAAGGAACTCAGATAGGCTTCTAACTAATGGTGGGTTTAGATACCAGTCATGTAGTTCACCATCCAGGGGACACATTAAGGTGAGGGTCGTCAGATCAATTAATCATATTGCTTATTAGTATCTCAGATGCCTGATGACAGTTTTATTGCATGATGAAAAGTTTCTGATGCTGCCTTAATTTAAAGAGTTTTTTTTTTTAAGTTATTTGGGCCTCCTCTGTTCATCTCTCACTCTAAATCTAAACTTTTTTCATATGAATTTATTAGCTGATAAAATGACAAAATGAACTGGTTACACTTTTTTTTACACAATTTGTAAACCGTTTATTTTATCAAAGCCATCTTCTTCCACCTATGCATAAGCTGCATCGCACCATATATCTTCTATATGACAAGAGTATATTCATCCACCTCTCATCTTGGGGGCCTGAAATATTTTCTCCATGCAAATAATTCCCTTGGAGCTACATACTTGAAAACAGATAAAAATATAAGTATTTTCTACCTCACTTATCAGAAAGCACAGTAGAGTTTTATTTGTTAGAGGCAGGAGGTTTTTTAGCACAAAACTTCAATAATGTGTTAAACTGCGAGGTTGATTTGTTCAAATTTATAGCTTAAAATCACATAGATTTTTTAATGTGCAGCTACTTTATCAAGTAAAAACAAATGTGTTAGTAAAAGTTAACGTGGCATTTGCACGGCTTTGGATTCCTTTTTTTTCTCTGTCCTGCTTGAAATAAGATTGAATAAGATCTACCCTGTAAGCAAGAGAATGTGAGCGTATGGGCCTCCTTCAAAATCCTTCATAGCATGGCTGTCTGAGTGAGTCAGAGGCTGTAAAAAAAAAAAAAAAAAAAAAAAAAAACAGGACCACACACAGAGTAGAGCAGCCCAGTCCAACACACACACAGGTTGAATCATACTCGCCACAATGAGAGACACCCACAAAGACGTCACATTTTCATCAGTTTCCCCACTAAATCACAACATTTGTTTGTGCGATCTGGCTTGAGAGAAGCAAGAGTAGCAAAGCAACCGTTAACCCACAGACAAATGTCATGTTTAGATTGGAGAAGTGCGTCAAAGCTGTTTATGCATACAGAACTACCTTTACTTCAAAAGATTACATTTTTGTTTTGTTCTGGAAAAAAAATACTGAAATGGAGACATGCGGCTTCAGTGTTCTCTGGTTTATCTTAAGCCAAATAAAAAGTCTAATGATGTTTGTAGCCAACGTTGAGATACACACTCAAATTCTTTATTCTGCTGATGTGAACAACATCAATCTTTGCTGTCAAAGCAAATAAGTTTGTATTAAACACAAAGAATAACATTTCTGCTTTCCTTCTTAAACAAAGTGAAGGTCAATTAATTTATTTCACATCAGACAAACAACTAGTGGAAGAGGTAAAGGACTGTTGCATGAGATGATCAAACATGTCACCAATTATTTAGGAAGTCTGGTTTGGTAATCATCTATGCAGCATGTTAAAGCAGACTCTAAAATTCCTAAAGCAAACATGTCAGCTACCTGACAACATAAGGTGAAAACAACCACGTAAATAAGTCGGGAGCAGAACAGAACAATAAAACTAACTAAGAAGGAAAAACAAACAGAAACAACCTAGGACTAAAAACTATTTTAAAATTTGATATAAATTCCACAAATGTATTTAAAATTAGAGTCTGGTGATCTGAGGAAAGAATGTGACAAATTTTGTGAGGTAATCTTTATTCATGTATTAAAACCACATGTAAAAAACAGACAAAAAAAAAGCCAATGTAAATCTAAATGCTGGATTTTTACATTCAGCTTACATCAAGAGTCAGTTTTAGGGCTAAAAAATGAAATAATTAATATATTGGTTTGAAATAAAATCCCTTTAGATGTAAAGAAAAAAAAAACACAGTTGGACATTGGCTAGACATCAGTGATAACCAACTAGGGGAAGACAAGGCATTAAAAAAAAAGAAACATATAGCAATACTCAAAAAGTGAAATGGATATAAGATAGACATGAATTGATCTCATTTTAAAACAGCACAGATAATATTAAAAAAAACAATTTACTTTCAAATAAATTGTTTTCAAGAGAGAGAGGGGATGGTATTAATTAGAGGGGCAACTTAACATATGCCAGAACAAAAATGAAAATTATTATTTTGAATCTGAATTAGCTTTACTCACTTCCGTTTTCACTTTTAAACTTCTGCACAAGTGCAAGAAATTTGACTTCACTCTCGTAAATGTTTTTGGAGGAGTGGCAGTTGGAGGGTTTGGAGGTCATGCCCTGAGGGGGACTAATGAGGGATCAATGGTAAGAGGAATTGTCAGAAGTCACTATGTGAACTGCTTCATCGATGCTTAAACTTGTGCTGTGGATTTGTAACGTCACCTCAATGGAGGGGAAGAAGCTTGAGTTTGTCAGGAGGTTGAGTGATAAAGGGTAGGTATAGTCAGGCTCACCTTCAAGCAAAGCCCTGCTTCTGGAACCTGGCTCATTAAGAGAGGCTGGGCCGTCTTCTACTCTGGAGTGGTCCACAGGGAGAGGGTTTGTATGCTGGATAACACTTCTCTTAGGGATTCCATCATTTTAGTGGGGTACTTCATTGCCAATGTGGGAAATTACAGTGATACCTGGCGGTACATGATCCAAATGAATGGGCCATTGGTTCTGATTGGTATTTAAGTATTTGATGTCTGTGCAAACCATAGACTGTCCATGATGAAAAACATGTTCATGCTTAAGCATGTTCATCAGTTCACATGGCACCCATACATCCTAAGCCAGAGGTCGATGATAGACTGTATCCTCTGACTTTCAGCCACATCTCTTGGACACTCAGGTGAAGAAAGGGGTAGTGCTGTCCACAAAATACCACCTGGTGAGACGTTGGAACAGATGCTCTAAAGACCCAAGTGAGAAGTGACGGTGTGTTCGGACAATCTGGCAGAGGCCTCAGTCATGAAATAATTTAACTCACAACTATAAGAGAGATTTTCTCAGGCTCCTGGGGGATATGGAGTCTAAGTGGACCATGTTCTCTGCCTCTATTGCAAAAGCGGCCGCTCATAACCTTGGCTATAAAGTCTATGGTGCCTGTCATGGCTTTAACACCCACATGTATTGTTGGACACTGGCAATAAGAGATTCCGCCAAGCTGCAGGAGTCTGCCTGAAAAAAAAAACCCAGGTTGCTGAAAGTTCTTTGAATTGCCCTTGTACTGAATTGTTCTATACCAATAAAATTGCCTTGCCTTGCAGGCTGTTGTGGTTGAAGCACTTCTGTAACATCTCGTGGTGATCGTGGACACTTTCAAAGCACTGGTGGAGTGCAAATGGTTCAATGCGCCAGCGCTACATCCTCTGCAGGGTGCTTAACGATCTGCTAAAACTTACCCTAGATCCAAACAAGTCCTGGATGGAAGGAAGCTAATGATCCATTTTAACATATCTGACAACTCATTGCAATTTGGACCTATGCTCTTTTTTTTGACAACCCTAAACACTTCAAATATAATGGAAAAACACAAATTTCCACTTCAAATAGAGTTGAAAAATTTATAATATATAACAAAAGCAACAAAACTCTGATAATACAAAAGAAAACAAAATGAACAACAAAATATTGCCCCAAAGACATTGTCTAAGTGTGATTTCTGAGTTTTAATCAAATATGCTCCAAATTTAAGTAACATTTTTTTGTTTTCTATTTTCATCAAAAAGCAGACCCACCGTGGTAAATGTAGGCTCCTTTACGTTCCAGAAGGTGGCGGCAAAGTAACACATTTTGAAGCTCAAGCTCTTTAGTAATGACTAATCATTTGAGTCCCTTATGAAAATCTGGTCCAGGATCAGCTCCATGGGTCAGATCTATGCCTGAGGTTGTAGTTTTGTAGTTCAATCTGGTCTTTGATCTGATTTATCAGAATCTGAGACAAAAGCATCCCCACTAGCTGCAAAAGAGAAAACAAGGGTAAACGTGTATCTTTGGATACTTTTTTCCAGGTTTTTATGCAATCATTACACAAAAATATACCTGCGGGATCGCCAGTCCCAGTGCAATGCCACCTAGTATGAACAGGTTACTGTGAATCCAGTCAACCATCTTGTCTATGCAGCCATCGGTGTAAATTTTGTTTTCAGTTGCCTTTTCTTGCATCCCCAGACCACACTGGGTGTTGGGTACCTCCTACAGACAATAAAAAAGAAAAGAAGAGGTTTACTTTTAAAAAGGAAACAGAAACAACAACAGTAACTCATCATGGGACTTTGTTTCTCAAGGAGGGACCTTTTTTTGGGAGGGGATGCAACAGGAATAGGGGACAGAGCAGCGCTCTTTGCTTGGGTTAGACGGGCTGCAATTAAAGTAAACGTTCTTGGACCAGTCAGTGTTTGTTGTTCCGCCACAGCACCTAAACTGAGGAGATGAAGGGAAAGGAATGAATACAGCAATATGATGCTACTACAAGTAAAATATAAAGGAACATTGTTACATACTACAGATTACTATATAACACATATTTGGTGATTTCAGATTTAATAACAAAAACCTCCTATTCCACAAAGATATCAGCTGAGCAGCCTAAAAAACAACATTTTTATGATTATGTTCAAATAAACAGGATTTTTCAAATTCACATATTCAGAGAACTTTCTATGATAATGTAACTTATAAAGATTAAATTATTACTATTCTGATTTTTTTTTTTACAAACAAAAGAACGACAACTCCTTGAAATAACGCCTGACTGAGTCCAAACCAATCTAATGAACTAGTAGCAATCAATCGATCTTTTCATTGAATGCCTTTTTTTTTTTTTTTGCATACTTTAAATGCTTTCAGTATCACTTGTTAAATTTCCAAACCCAGAGAGATGACACTCATCCTAGAGAAATTATATTCCTTGAGGTTTAGGGTTAGAAGTTTATCCATGAAAGCTGGTTCTATTTGGTTCTTTTCCTTCCAAACCTAATCCCAATGAATTAATTTTAGGTCACAACAGTTTTAGGTCACAACAGTTATATTTTCAGTCCCCAGTTGCAGTGGTTGGCGTGCATGACCCATGTACGGAGGCCTTAAGTCCTTGATGCGGCCGACCCAGGTTCGAATTCGCACTGTGGTCCTTTGCCGCATGTCTCTCCCTCTCTCTCATATCCCCTTTCCTGTCAGCCTACTGTCGAAAAAACAAGCCACTAGTGACGTAAAAAAAAAAAAAAGTGTTTAACTTTCAGCTTCTTAACCTCCTAATTACTAGTAATTAAACTTTTTCCTCTTTGGAAGACATTTGTAAACCTTAATATCTCTCACTAACTGCATATTCCTGAATTAACTCATGTTATCTACATAGGCCATTAGGGGTGGGGCTTTCGTAATTTTCTCTTCCTCATCCAGGAAAATGGCGTCCATCTGTGCAAGCATATTTTATGGGGTGATGAAAGATAAGTGCATAATACACTGTTAGTTTAAGAAAAGGGTAATTGATTTTTGTATTACACTTTAAAGGCATAACAAAGTCAAACTAAAATAAAAAAAAAAAATGGTGATGGATAGCTATGTGGATATTAAGCTCAGGCTTATGTTGAAGTCTTGATGTTATTCTATCTGAGTAAGTTGTTGCCATCAAGGTTTAGATCCTAATGAAAAGTCCAATGTAGTGGACACCTGATACATAAAATTATTTTCAGTTCACCAATCGTATCACAGAGATAGAGGAATTAAAAAAACAAAACAGAAACAAAAAACAGTTAGTGGACAATGCATTTTTTTCCTGTTTGTCAAGATTGAATATAAAAGATGTATCTCTCTTAGTTGCAGCAGTCAGTAAAGCAGTTTAATACCTTTATTGGATTGTTTTTACCTCATTAAATTAATATTAAACAGAATTTAGCGTAAAACCAAAGCTAATAAACACATGACTGCCATTGTGTATTACTCCTTTTCTTTTCTTTCTGATGAAAAAAACTCCTGGGAAGGAAGAAATGTATCCTTCAAACAAATTTCAATAGGCTTTTAAACTGATTTAGTTTAACAAAGAGACACATTTCCAAAATAAAATTAAAGTGACCATTTGAACTCATGCAAAACTCCTACCTCTTTCTGGCCGTAGTCTATAAGGTTTTGCAGATCCACATCATCTCTGTAGTGAACTATGGCATTATTGATTATTTCAGTTACTTTGTGTCTTGCCTTGAAAGAGGAGGTAAAAGAAAAAATACATTATATGCATGCTGAAGCACTGTAATTGAAACTGAAAAATAAGGCTGAATTAAAAGCTTGTTTAAAGTTGAGAGGCAGGTGGTTATACGGAGAATCCACCAGACTCCGCCCAGCTTCTCGGTTTGTACTGGAGGAGCTGCATGCACAATTTTTGAGCGTTAACACTGAAAGAAACCAATTCTAAATTTAAGCAGCAAATGTTGTTTAATCTTCAAAGTTGTATATTAAAATTGTTCAATTTTGCAAGACTAATACACACAAAATCTTCAATTCTTGATTGACTTTGAGTTGCAGGTTTTTCATATAAAAAAATAATTAAAAGTTGGACTGAATTCTAAAGATCCTCTAAAAAAAACATCCTTTTACAAGCTGGTTAAGATTCTCCTTTAGTCTTCAAATCATTCAAAAATCTGTTCAAAAACTCTTTTAATCTGCTTTTAACTTCGTTTTACTGACAAATCAATGCTAATATTTAACAATGCTTGATTACCTTGTCTGAAAAGATGAAGGCCAGAATACCAGCAGCCAACTGGATTATAAAGATCACTATCAGAGAGATGCAGAACTGGGATGGGTAAAAAACAAATCATTTATATCAGTATGATAACATAACTGTAAAGCAAATAATTCTTTATTTTTTTCAATTCACTTGATACTAATCTATTGTGACATTTTACTGTACCTGGCAAATTATTTACAGCCCTAACAACCACAAAATATCACAGGTAAAAATACATTAGTGGAAAGACTAAGAAAACATACCAGTCTTTATGTTTTCTACAAATTAATATCGAAAAAATAACAATGGGAGAAATACTTTTTCACCCCCCTGCTCAAAAGACAGAAATTCATCAATTTGACAATCTGACCTTCATGGAGGAATGTAAAAGGAAAGTTAATGTTGAAATACAAGCTGTAAGATGTAATTTATTACAATTTGTTAAAAGTCAAGTGGGAGATAAAAAAGGTGGAGGAGAAGGTGCTCTAAACAGATTATTCTAAAACTAAAGTATTAGCTGGCACATCATACACAATGTGAAACACAGTGGTGGCAGCATGATGCTGTGGTAATACAACTGATCAATAAGGAAGGAGAATGTTTATATTTATGTGTAATTTTTTGGCATCCTTGTAATTCAAATTAACAGCTAAGTAATTCATATTAAATAAAAGGTCAACAATATTTAAAACCCAATTACTGTCTGCAGGAGGCATATGTTTTCACGTAGCGAGCCCACACAGCCACAGAAGGTGATTATGAACATCAGGATTCCAACAACTATAAGCATCACGGCGGGATCCAATGACAGACTTGCCAGGGTTGTCTCTGCAACGAAAAAGGAAACCTAGAATTCACACATTTCATCTGTTTTTCTGATAGATCTATGTAGCAGTGAAGCCTTTTTTAGAGCAAAGTCCCAGTCCTGACTCTCAGATATATACGACAATTTACCTGCATGCTTTATCACTCGGGCATAAACACCGATTGCCACCATTACCAGGGAGACTACCTGAGAAGAAAATCGAAAATGACAGAAAACAGATTAATGTTTGCTGAAGAAAATCATTTTGTGTGTTTCTACTTGTCGGGGGGTGCGGCACCCTCTAAACATCTTGATGATGAGAAAGATGTGCAGAGGGCAATTATGAGTCAGTTTTATCTTCATGATAAAGGTATTTAGAGTAATGAAATCCTCTCTTCACTCTTTTTTCATGACTAATTCCGCCCGTAAATAACAAAGTGTTCCATTCAGCTCTGCATTTCCATTATAAAGAGAATAAAAGAAAAGCATTCGAGAAAAAAAAACCTTCCCAACCTGAATTAAAATAGATCCTATTACCAGAAAGACTGCAGCATTGTGAGAGAGAAGCAAAGTGATTTCTCTGCCTTGTTTCCTAAAGGCACAGCAAACAATCTAGAGCTGTGGTATATTATGCCTGCAGGCCAGATTTCTATTAGAAAGTATAAAAATATCTTAATAATCAGCACAACCTTAGTAGATTAGTCATGACTGAAAAACGGCCCATACATGCAGAAACAAATGTCTGCAAGTAGTATACTAAACCCAAAGTAGCCGGAGGCAGCAGAAATTATACAAACACATTCCAAGCTTCAAGTTCACTTAACAGCTGCTTACTGAACATGCTGAATACAAACTAACGATCAGACATATCTAATTTTACAGCAGTACTCCGAGAAGACTAAAACACTTATATCGAATCAAAATTTTGCAGTTTTAACTTAAGCAGCAAGGAAAAGAAAAAAGTCTACAAATCTCAGCAGGTTTAATCTGTAACTCCAGCTTGCAAAATACTGCAACTGATCACCTGATGCTGAAACCCTGCATGGACTTTATGGGCTTACTGTTTTGAATCTGTTAACTAAATGCATCATGTTGTGCAGTTTGCAAGAGATTTTATTTATTTTAACAATAAAAGTGTGAAAGTTTCCCCAAATCTTCTGTTTCCCTCTTTGTTATATTGTCCTTTCAAACTTCTTATGTAATATCTCAGATATTCAGTCATGTTCCTACAGGTTCAGAGGATTGCAAAAATGTTTTTTTAGGTAAAAGTAAATGAAGGTCACTTCACGGCTGAGTCGCTGCGAGCTAAAACCCTCTCTGTGTTAAAAAGTAACTAAAACCAAACAAAGAGGTGGACACAGAAAACCAACAAACTAAAACAAATCAGAATGCTTAGATCTCCTCAAATTAAGAACAATTATTACAATAGGGAGAGGTCTAACAGGGAGGTATGCTGTCTAATGCACACAGAGCAAATGTTTGGATCACTCACCCAGAAAATAAAATTGAACAAGAACAGCAGGTATTTCACAACCGGACTAATAAATGTGAAATCCTTGTCGGAGCGAGATGCGCCTCTGCGCTGTTCTTCCATGGCTGCTTTATGGAAGTCTGCGCACAGGAAACCCAATGAATCCAGAAACGCCTTCCTGAAAATCAAACAGGATCAAAAGCATAATGATGATAGTGATGGTTGATAAAAGGTGGAGGGAGGCAGGTTGCAGCCACAGCGTTTACTGGTTCATCTGCACTGGGTGGTGCGCTTTGAGTTTCACGCCTTTCCATGTGATCACGTGATACAAACAACCTGCAACTAGGAAGGATGATTTTTTTTATTTTTTTATTTTATATTTTTATTTTTTAATTTTTTTAGACTTAGACAACTTTTATTGACATTATGTATACATAGTGTATACACAACGAAATTGCATTTAGTACAGCTTTCAGACAGTAAATGAACATTTCCAGTGATCAAATGTAAACAGTGTGGGAGAAAACACATACACACACACACACACACATATATATATATATATATATATATATACACATATAGATAGATA